AAATGAGCCAGGGAGGAGGGGATATGGGCATGGGGGAACAGCTTCAGGAACTGTTAGGGAACCACTCCCAGCTAGTTAAAAAATTATTTCCATGTGAGCTAATACTATTCCTAAAGCTCTTAGTGGAAACAGTGTTCAGTATTATCTAGCTACATCTGGAAAGGCTCTTTTAGTCAGAGTATAATTTTTATAACATGGCTATTCTAGAAGCAAAGTGGAAGCTCTGGTTAGCTTTCAGTCTAGTTCCCAGAATGCTCATATAGCACTCTTTGAGTCTTTTTTTTTTTTTTTTTTTTTTTTCCCCAACTCTGCTAGCATCTGGATTGAAAGAACAAACCAAAGATTTAGATACAGTTGTGCATGCCTTGCAAATTTTAATGAGTTTTCTGAATAACTGTCATGAGTACGTTTCCTGTATGGATGGTTTGTGTTTATGCTTGTGTGTTGTGTTAAATGCATTTTATGGAAAGCATTAGAGTCCTGAATGGATATATACTTCATATAAAATCCTTTCTCAAGTTGCTTATGACTTCACAATAATACAACTTGAACTAGCGTGGAAGAGTTTACGAATACCCGATGGAGAGGACAGAGGTCTTTGTTAAAGTACATGTATGTGTTTGTGTATATACATACAATCCAGCACAGGCACTGATTTTTGTAAGGAGTTCAATGCAATTAACTTTCACTTAAAATCATTGACCACCACAAAAAAATTGTTTCAAAATATGTCTGAAAAATGTTTGAGAAGAGCTAAATGACAGGTGGAGAAGCAGGTGGGCTTGCTGACAGTATCCATAATTTTAGAAATGTCAGAAAAATTAGAATCTGACATTTTTATTTTTTTATTTTCTTTTCCCTGAGGGATCTTCTGAAGGCCTGAGTGATGTTTATTGTAAGCACAGTTACCTTTTTCAAACTGGTTAAAACATGGACCTGTTTCTCCAAGTCCTTTCTTTCAGTCTCTTGTGATGTGCCCGGTTGTCCTCTACAGGTCTCCACTCACTGTGGAATTTTCCAGTGCAGACAGGGCTGTTGTTTTGAATGTAAAATAGTCTGGGGAAAAACACACCCCGTTTTCAGTGGCTTTTCTCCATGATGAATAAAGTCACAGAGGGGAACAGGCTTGTGCTTTTCCATTCCTATTCTAAAGCATTAAATACAACCTTCAGTGCCAACAGGCAGCCCAAAGCCCTGTATTCTGGGTAGATGGGACACTTAGGAAACATTTTTTAGAAGTAATCCTATGGCACAGATCTCTTGCCATTTTTGTTGTGTGAATATTATATATGTTTTATTGCTTTTATCTTATATCTCTAGTTGGTGAATCTTCCTGGGAACAGTTTATGTGCTAAACAGCTCATTTACATATATTCATACTGCTAGATTAGACAGCCAACGAGCTCTGTGCTTCCAGAAACTTTGTAGGTGGCTCTGAGTAGAACAAATAGAGCAGATATAACCTGAAGCAGAAATGAGATGCATCATTTTGTTTGGGTATTAGACTGAAGTACTGGATGATTGACCTATAAAATGAGGCAATGCTACTACTTCATCTCAAGTAGTGTCCTTGTATGCTTCTACCCAAAATCAGTTCCAACCTTCAGATAAAATAATTGACCCACAAGCATTAAAACACAGAGGGGAATTCATTTTGTGACGGGTGTATACTTTCCAAAAACCTCATTAAATCCTTCATTGTTAGTAAACTGCTTTTAGTTCAATGTTTGGTTAGAAAAATTAGAAGAATTGCATTTGCAAAGTGCAGAGAAGAGAAAAACACATTGCAAGCGTTTATATTATTTTCCTTGTTATACATAACTTCTAGGAAAATTATAGCAGCATATTGTCTATTCCTTCCTCCCTTCCCTCCAAAATCAGAGCATGAGATGGGATTCTACTAACTGCTAATCAGCTGTGATTCTGTGGTTTCCTCTAACACTATGCACAAGCCTGCACAGGGCTGGTTTGCAGCAGAAAGCACTGATCTTCCTGACACCTGCAGGAGATAGAAGACAAGGAGACATACCGGGAAGGTTGTGAACATGTGGGCAAGATCATTCTGCTAGCATTTTTTTAGTATTTTTACTGGGCTTCTGAATGTGTCGGACTGGTCAACAGCAACAAAACCCAGCCAACAACAACCAAGAAAAAAATATGTATTAAGAGATAAAGGAGGTAAGGGCTAGAGTTAAGATATTGTAATGGGGAAATCCATGATCAGATTTTGCAGGCGGGGCTTCAAAGGTGAAGGAGGCTAGAGTAGGGTAGTACCAAAAAGGAGTAGTTCACATTAGAACTAAATTTAATCCTATTTAAATATTTGGAAATAGTAGATTTAATATCTCTTGCTGTCTCTCTCTGTGTGCATATGTTGTGATCTCAGGCCAGCGTTTGCTTACACTAAAGAACCCTTTGCTCACAGGTATCTTACTGCACGGGAAGAGATACGATTTTAGTATGTGCAAATGTGATTTTTGAAGACACAGCTATCACAGTCAGATCCTTGATAAATGTTTTTTGAAGGTGGGTCCTTTTTTTCTGTGATAATCTTAAGAAAATTAGAGCGGGATAACTTTGTTTATCTTTCAGTTATGACCTTCAAAAATAATGTGTCTACAGTGGATGTTTAAGGCCCCTTAGTGCCACCCCATCACTGAGGTTCATTATTGGAATCTGAACATGGCAAACAGAAAATAAAACTGCACATTCTGTTCTATTTTTCTGTTTTATCTTATGCACCTTTATGTTGTGGTGATCCCAATACACAAAGGGTAACTTGTCTTTGATTGTTGTCACATTTGGTATTTCATTTTACTGTGTTCTCAACAGTATCAGAAGTATTGTCTGTTTTCTTTTAGTATGTTCAAAAGCTAAGTCAGATAAAATATGGATTCTTTTTAAAGCTTTAATTTTGAAGATAGGGTTCATTTTCTAGACCAGAAAATAAGTGGTTATGCTGTTCTTTCCATGACTTCTTTCTGTAAAATATCGAGGTTTGTGCCACTTAAATGTTTTTAAAATTTGAAGAGAAAGCAACGTGATTTTCTTTCAGCACCCTGCTTTTTGTAGTAATACTGTTCAGTTGTTTAAAATGCTGTAAAAAAGCCATGATTTCAAAGGTGCAAGATACCCCAGGAGGCTGGGAGTAGAGAGAAACCATGTTGGTTAATCATTTCTGTTTCCTCACAGGAAAACCTTCTGGAGCTGAGGCATAGACAGAGGACTTCAGTGCACACAGAGGCTTAGGCAGCAATGCCATAAAATCTGTATAAACTTTTGGTCCAGTATCTCATCGCAGTACAAGTCGTAGCTGTACCCAGATTTAACTCTCAAATACAGACTATAGGCCACCATTAGCTCTCCAGGGTTTTGCTGCCTAAGATTTGGTCTGGACACAAGTAACTCCTTTAGAAAACCTACTGTTCAGTTGTGATTTAGTGCCCAGGATTGTTTCTTACTCACATATATGTGATTAAAAGAGAAAAACCTTCACTGTCTAACTAATTGGTATAAAGGGTAGTTCTTTATAGATATGAGTGGAATTTTGGAAAAGGAGAGGGAACAATAAAGACACCTTTAGTGATAAAACTGTGTAGTGATATTCAGTGGGGAATGCACGGCAGATCCTACCAGCAATGAAAATAAGAAAAAGCCCCTTTAAGAACAAGAAAAAAAATAGTGCCATGTATGTATCAAGACACATTTTATCACAACTCTGTCAATACCACCTTTGATATGATTAGAGAAGGCTAATTTGCATATGCTGATAATGTCATGTAAACGAGCCTTTACATTATTACGACTCATTATGAATCTCTTCCCTAACATGCAAGTGAAGTGGAGGTTATGCAGGCTTCAAGGCTGTTTTTCCTGTAACGGTTTGGCATGGATGTTAAAGGGAAGAGGTGACATCAAAAAAGCAGCATGTGAAAAATGCAAATATTTGGGGGAAATAGCAAAGCATGAGTGCCTGTGACAGCAGACTTCATAGTGGAGCTGAGTTAGCCTGGTCTGTGCAAGCAGGCAGTTCACCAGGATGTATGAGAAATAGTGAGGGCAGCGGTTTTTGCAGGCTGGTGATGGCAGGTTCAACACATCTGGTGTTCCTGTTGATGTCAGTATTTTTCAGCCTGAGGGAAAATGCAACTTGATGCAAACTGCATTATGGTTGAGGCACTCAAATGGGAAGCGTTTTTATAATCAGTCTATTTCATGGAATGAAAGGAGAAGACCCACTGTGACATGCTGGGGTATATGTTGTTAATTGCTCGTCATAACAATTCTCTTTCTTCAGTAAGATCTCTCTTTTCTCTTACCTCCTCTCCCTGTGAAATGATCTTGTCAATATGGAGAAAGCAACCCTGAGGAATCTGTAATTCAATGAAAAATTGCTGTTGCCATAGCATAGAGTTCTGATTTTCTATTGAAAGAATTTCTTAGTCTTCATTTGCATTCCCTGGCTCTCTAAACAGCTGTATCAACTGTTAGGATTCAAACAATTAAAAATGCTTTATTATTAAGAAGAAATTAAAAGAAGTAATCAGCTTAACACAATTCTAGCTCAAAACAACAACAACAACCACAACAAAAAACCCTTTCCTGACATCTCATGGGAAAAGCATATTTGTATGCTGTTAACATCCCAAATTGGCTTAAGTTAGAATATAACAAGGCAAGACTAAACCAAAGGGAAGACAGTGGAAAAAGACCTAATGTTTTCTTTTCACTGTGAACAATGTGAATTTTCATCAGTTTTTGTTGTTAAGATGTCATACAAAAATATTCCACTGAAGCCTACTATGCAGGCTGTTAAAATCTCCTAAGTGAGACTCCCTAATATAAATTTCTTGGCATCTATTGAATTCCCCTGTTTATTTGACTGAAATGTTTGTACAAGACTTGTTCTTGTTCCATCTTCAGTGTTTGAACTAGAGATAATTTTTCCCCTCCTTTTTTTTTTTTTTTTTTTTTTTTTTTTTAATTTTAATTCCTTGGTTTTGTGGGTGGATGTAATAAAGTTTCATAATCCTGATGGGCTGATAGTAACCAGGATGAACTTAACACAAGAAGAGGCAGATGGATGGTACCTACGCCTCCTTTGCTAGTTCTGTCAGGACACCTCTTGCCATTGTTCAGCAGCCTCCATTGCTCCCCTCTTCAATGTCTGCAGGATAGATGCCACAACCTTCATTGCAGCTCACCAGATGATTTCATGGCACATGGGGTGGCAATCTGTCACACAGCCACAGAGAGCATTGGCCAGCTTTCATGCCCCAGGTTAAAATGCCTAAGACCGTGAAAGTTTGGATCCTAACTCCACCTGCTCCTTTAAAAATCCTGAGCCAAACTTCAGGGAAGTACAGCTCAGAAATGAGAATTTGGGCTTCCATTTTATTGGGCTTCTTTTGTTACAGATTTTAGCTCAGAATACCAGAGAAAGACAAGAGATCCAAGCCTTTCTGGGATGCTCAATTTCAAAGCTTAAACTCATGGAGACTCCCTGAGCTACCTCGTGTGCTTTCTTTGATGTCCTCTCTCCCTGCTCTTCGATATGGTAGTAATACTTTTGTCTTCTCTTCCATCTTCCCTTCCCTTTCCAGAATATTCATTTCACTGTATATTTGACCCTATATCATTTTAACATCTGTGGTTAAAGTTTACCTATAAAAGAAATTCAAAATACCAGGTTGGGCACCAAGCACTTCCAGGCACTCCTAAAGTTCAAGAGAAGACAGCCATGTCTGTGATCTGTGGTCTGGGTTAGTCTCAAATGAAAACACTGACCTTGGTTTGATGATTTCACTCCTGTGTGGGTAAACATCCAAACCCTCATTTTGAAAAAGAAGGTTGTTTTTCTCAGAAGAAGGCTTTTCATCCTTAGCATGTGATGTACCGCATAGTGTCCATGTACAGAGGTTAACGTAGAAGTCCTAACAGTTTTTCAGCTTGCTGAGTTATATGCCTCTGACTCAGTCCCACTGGAAAAAGCAGAGCCAAAGCAGCTTTCAAGGAAAGATGCCATTGTTATTGTTCTCTAGTTCTCTTATCAATATACAGGATGTTGTTCCCATCTGTCACCTTCTGCCCTGGAACTAAGAGTGAACTATGCTCATTACAGTGAGATTACCATTTGTAAGGTGGGTGGCCCGTGTATGTATCTCCAATGCACTATTAAATCCTTGAATTGGAGTGCAGCTGGGCTAAAATGCTTAGCTTGTTCAAAGGCCAAGTGAGCTTACTTGCAAGGCAGTGATGGTCCAAGAATAGTTTATTTTCTTCTGACTTCCCTTTCAGATTCCTCAGTTTGCCGCCTAAGGTGATAGGCCAGCTGATACACAGACATATTTTAATCAGTTACTTAAGGGATGGCTTCATGGTACAAGGTCTCTTTCCCAATGCTGGATGTCTACTCAGGAAGGTATGTCTGCATGCTTGAAATAATATTATTTTTGTAGCCCACAGCAGTCTTGAAAGCTGAGGTTGTTTGTGTGACGGTATGGATATAATATGCTTTTTTTTTAGCTTGCTGCACCTCATTTGGGGCAGAGGAAGGAAAAGATGCGGTGAAAGTCTTTTCATCTCTAATGTTTGATGTATAGTTTTGTTATTCTAACCTCCTGCATCCATCTTCAGGGTAGTGAAATGATGGAAAATAACTGTAGAGAAGTAGTTTAATAAGCTTTGCTGTATCCAGTCCATCTCTGAATTTCAAAGTTCATGTGCACATTCCTTTAGTTTCCAAAAATATATTAATACTTCTGCTTCGTGTTCCTAGTGATTGAGTCACTAGAGATTGATGAATGAATTCCTAACGACTGATGTGGACAAAAATAAAAAATCCCACCACTTGCCCTGAGATTCTGAGTTTTGTTTCCATAGAGAACATATCCCAAGCTTTTAACTCACCTTGCAAATCCATTTGTAACTTCTTGGGAAACCCAGTACACAATGATAGCTGATACTATTTTGGCACACTTGGCATCATTCTGTGGCCCAAAATGGATTCAGCATCATTCATTTAAGAAAAATACTTTTACTCTTTACAGTTTTAAATCAGAGGCAGTTAAATGCAATTTTTACTTGAGCCTAGTGAGTTACTGTCAGAATATTTGATGAAATTTCAAGACATGGATATGCTTAATAAAGAATCTTCTCAATTTTTTGCTCTTAAAATAAATTTCTTCACTGAGCATGCTCAAGTTTAAATGGTGAAGTATACGTAATATGCAAGGCAGGGTCCAAAGGCTGCCCAGTAATGGATGTACAGTCTGGATTTCACTTAGGGTCATCGATTGGTCTAATGGAAACATAAATTATTTCTGGATTAACATATATAAACAGCTCCAACTAGTAAATGCGTGTATTCATGTATCAGATGTATCTTTTATAGATATATATCAGAGAAAGCACGAGCTTGGATTTTTGGAGCTTGTTGAAGAAATGAGACTTCCTTAGAGAATCAATTCCTTGGTGAAATAAGTTTTTTTGTAGAAGGCATTTAAGTGGGATTATTGGTGTCTTTTGTTACGCTGATGAAATCCTCCCAGGAATTAGGTGACAATTTTCATCAGTAAGAACACCCAAGTTGCATCTAAGAGCTAAACTGACTTTTGATCTCAGCATTATCTTCTGAGAGTCCTTATTGGTTGTCTCTGCAGAACCAGATTTACCTTTGTGTTCTGCCTCTAAAGTCCCCCCTACCTTTTGAGTAAATAAAATTATTTTAGGTAGGCAAACATCACTCTTTCATAAGAACAGAAAAGCAGAGTGGTATGAGTGTCTGACCCTCCTTTTAACCTTTTTTTTTTTTTTTTTTTTTTTTTTTTTTCCATTTCTCAGTGAAGCAAACAAAACCATGTGAATCTCAAACACTCCTGGGACTGGAGAAGGAGGGAGAGTCTCTTGCTTCTTTTTTGGATCAGGGAGTAGTGCCCAGACACTGAAAAAAAGAGGCTCCCATGGTGTACAAAAGCTTCACAGACATGTGAAAGAAGCCATCTGATATTTTAACATTACTCTAAGAAATATGTTTATGTACTTGGTAAGCCTATAGTATGCTGCTGCAAAATTGCTGCTTGTGTCCTGGTAGCCTTCAAGAACATGTGTTGCTAATATTCACGCATCTCCTGTGCATGTTGCTCAACCTCTGAGCTTCTGGCTTATTAAGTAGAGAAATATGAGGGTGAGTTTAGTTTTTTTTTGGGTAGTTGACTTCAATGTGTCTTCCACCTGTTTGTCTGGTACCAGCTCTTGCTGACTGTGTTCTGCAAGGGAATTTCCCTAGGAACAAAGTTTTTTATTGGACTAGTGCTTCTCTGAAATACATGTAGAGGAAAATAATTGTAATGTCAGATGGGAAAAAATAACCTTAAGAGCTCCAGCATGTCTCCATAAATCATAGAATCATAGAATATCCTGAGTTGGAAGGGACCCTTAAGGATCATCAAGTCCAACTCTTGACACCGCACAGGTCTACCCAAAAGTTCAGACCATGTGACTAAGCGCACAGTCCAATCAGATGTTGTATATTATAGGGAATAATATAAAAATATAGGAATATTTGTATTGAAACTCATTTTAATTTATCAGTTATTTACAAAGCCAGAATTATATTTGAGCAAAAGACATGCAATATCAATTTTACATCTGTACCTTTTATACGGCAGCACCAAATTTCATAGCCGTTTAATGCAGAAATGCGTTAATCATGGGATTAAATATTTAAATAATAAAAAGCTGTTGATAACATGGCAAGCAACGTTCAGACATTATAAGAAAAACTGCAGAAAATCTGCAGGAAATGTATAATTACATAATTTGTTAAGCTTTTGTATTTTGCATTGATGATTCATCATCTTGTGTATATATATGTTTGCAAACGAAATCAAATGTTCATCATTTGATGCTTCATTTGCTAATTATAATGTGGGATCCAATAGAGTGATAAGCCTCTACAGTGAACAGAGGCTCACTGTAGCTCAAGCGTGAGCTTTTTCTGAGTTTGAGTCTCACTTCTAGGTGGACATGATCCCATTTCTCTTTATTTGCTCTCCAGAATTTTTGTTTCCCTGTTTCAGTTCCAGCTTTCAGTCCAGCAGTCATTCTTGATTCATGTAGCCTTGATCTGAAACTTAATCCATTAGGTATGTCGGGCTCTACCGTAGCTGTTAAGACATAGTCTATATTAGTGAGATATTGAGAGTCACTGTTGGAAAGGATCTCCTATTTCAGATCTTGGCTGATAGGTATAGGCAATAAGGGGAGAAATCTCCCTCTCACTTTCTGTCTCTGCTCATAGATTAGCTTCTTTCAAAACAATCTACTCCTTCAGGCTGTCTGTGCCTTTTTCTCTGTAATTCCTCTGAGGGGTTGTTCTGTCTGCCATCCATAATGATCTGCTCCAGTCCCCAAATTTAGAAAGGTCAGCAAACAAGATTGTGGATTGCTCTTTTAACAGGGATGCAAAAAAAAAAAAAAATTCCTTTTTTTTTTTTTTTATTTTCTTACCCCCCTGGAAAGTCCATTTAAAATTACAACATTTGCAGTGTGGAGCTGCTACACTTCTTTTCTCCTTTCTCCAAGTTATTTCCTGACTAACCTTTTCATGTAACAAACCTGAAGGTTTTTCTTCTTTCTGTTTTCAGTACAAAGGCAAACCTAGTTTAGGTCCTCAGGAGACCTCTGACCAGTATTTGTTTGAAGATGTCTCTGCCTAGGATAATATTACAATTAGAATCAAAGAAAGCAGGAAAAAAAATAATTAAGGGTTTCTTTCTGAAACAAAATGAAGGACACTTTTTATTTCTCTGGCCTAAACAACTTTTGGAAGAGCTACCCAAGATAGGACCTGGCAAATAATATCATGCCCTTTGCCAAATAATGGGTAGAGATCTAGCAAATCTAGTTATTAAATGAGCTGAGCAGGAAGAGCCTGTTTGAGGCTGCTGCTTAGAAATACTAGCAGTACACTCAGTAGAGGACAAAAGATGTGGAGATTATAAACTGCATTTGCTGAGGCCATGCGTCAACTAAGATCAGAGTCAACAGTGGCTGGAGCATTGTGGGAGAAGCAGAAGAGGACAGATGAGTGTTGTTGAGGCTCATGCAATGCTGTTGGTGTTCGACCTACTCTTTCTATTGTTGCTTTGCTTGCTTTTTATCTGATGAATAAAATATGTAGTACTGGCTAGAAAGACAGACAAAAGAGAGTTCAACTACCTGCATAACTGCTGTGGGATGCAGTCGCCATATGAGAACTATGATCTCAAAATTAAAATGGTAACTGTTGGGACTAGCAGTAATGCTTTACAGTAATAGGCCATGTATGTGGTGGTTGACAGAAGTATAAAGACTTTATTCCTAGGCAGATTCAGGGAATGGCATTTAAACTGTCCAGAGAGTCTGGTCTGTAGCTGAGCTGAACTGGCACCAGTTGCTAGAGCAGATTGCATAAGTGACCCAAAAGGGATGGCAGAGAATAGCTTTCCAACTCCCAAGAGCAGAGGGATCCTATTCAGGGAAGCTGTCTCAGCTGTCAGGGTTGTTCTTTCATCTCAGTGGACTGCAAAATATCTGTTTTTCCCTTTGCAACCAAAGGCAAAATCTGGCATTTGAAAGACTATTTTAAAAAGTGGAAGAACTTTAGGCTTCTGAGGGTTTAATCTTCCAAAATTAAAAAAAAAAAAAAAAAAAAAAAAAAAAAAAAAAAAGTTTAAAAAGCTATTCTGCAATTGCATTCTGCAATGAAACATTGTACAATTTCTGTCTCACATACTTCTAAAAGGTGAGCACTGACTCAATGTGGAGGATAATTCACTTGCTATTTTAAAGCCACGGAAGGTGCAACTTGATTTATTTCTGTAACTATATGCTTGCTCTCCCTCTCTTTGTTTCAGTAATGAGGAGGAAGTGCTGCTTCTTCATACTGAAATCCTGTATAGGGTACAGTGGATAAGAGTCTTTCTGGGACTGGTGTGACTGGGCTTCTCTAGGTGAGTGTTCACCTGTCTTCTCTACCAGGTCTTCCCAGAAGTAGGTCCATTTTGAGGCAATGTGCTTAGCGAAGGGGTTGAGCGCTGACTGACTGAACTGTACTGTGGCTTGAAGAAAGCAGAGGGAGGGAAGCAGTTTGTATTCTGTAGGGTTTCTGGGTCAGTAGACCAAAGACAGGTCTTCTGTATCTTTTTACAGCCTGTCTTGGCTTCCTTTTCTTGCCTGGTGAAGGAGGGCCTCCATGTGCTTGAGGCTTGACTCCGAGCTCAAAGGCTGGGTTTGCAAATGTCTTTCAGATATTAGCCAAAAATGTTAGTCTGTGCATGTGTACAGGGAGGTGTGGGGGAGGCAGCGTTGCTCCCTTGTGCAGTCACACAGAACAAGCCACAATCTGGCGTGCTTTTGGTTATTAATAGCTAGAATATGGAAGTAGGGCAAATATCCATCCTGATTTATCCTAACCTGAATAATCCATATAGTCTTGAGGCCATAGAATAGTGATTCTGTCTCTAGCTGTCACTTTCCTGAATTTTAGGAAGAGATATCTGTGACCATTTTGTGTCACGATGATCAATGTCACATTAAAGAGAGAAGCCTGCAGGCAGGCGTGTGAGCTGTGTGAGTGCTGCCTGATTAGGGAGACGCTGGGGTGGTGATCCTGCTCCCTGTCACTCCACGATGACAGAGACAACTAGACAAAAGACCCTGAGGGAGAGGTCACCCTGGCCTGAAGCTGCTCTGCTGAGGAGAGGGGGGTAGAGAAAGACACCGAGAGGCAGGCCACAGGAGGAGGAGAGGAGTCAAAGAGCCATGAAGCAACACGGAAGGAGGCAGGGGGCGTTTGATTCAGGAGCAGGGAGGGGGAGAAAAAGAGGCAGAGATGTGCAGAAACGCGTATCCATACAGTTAACCATTCCTAGGCAGGAAGCATTTGTGTTCTGCTGAAGCACACACTGATACAGGAATATCGGGCTGTTGAGAGTCCAGGAATTAAAATGGAGTGATGAGACTAAGGAAAGGCTTCATAGCAATTCTGGAAGCCAGGCTTTTTTCTTGTTCTTGTTTCTAAAAATAATGAATACATTGAATCTCGTATTTTTATTCCCTTCCCAGCTTGCAACATGGTGTTTTTCACACCTATTTTTGAAATCACAGTAACTTTCTTGACCAAATGTGCAGATTTGCCATTGTGGCCTACTTACATTCCTAGTGTATGAAGAGAAAGAAACAAAAGGCATTAGCTGTGATAAATCCGGCAGAGAGATGCCTGGAAAATAAATCAGAAGTCCTCATTTGGTCAGGTTTCCCGCTGACTTCCACACAAACTGGCATGATTCTGGAGTGAAGCATGTGAGCTTGAAGAATAGGGTGCACAATTGCATCCTGTTATTGTTCTGAGTGTTATTCTGGTAACAATTTTCTTTTTCTGGATAGGCACACAAAAAAGCAATAAATATTATTGCTGATTGCATTTAGAAACTGCAGGCCTGTTTACTGGGAGTAAAACAAGTATATAGGGAAACAAATCCTTGCCCAGAAGTATTTAAAACCTAATATTAAATCAAGACACAGCGTAAGAAACAAGAGTAGGATGAAATGAAGATGACTCTGCTAACAGACTGCTTTTATTTAAGACAGCTAATTAATAATTTGATAGATTCAAATCATCTAGCATTTTGCTTACATTGTGATATGTTTCTGTTCTGCTTTGATGTAGGCAAGTAAATAAAAGGATGGTTTCTACTGAGCTAATTTCTGGAGTTGTGGTGTTAGAATTATTCCCAGGACAGATTAGTCTGTTTGTAAATATTGTGTTTTAGTGTCTCAATACTTTGCTGTGTCAGTATGAAACCTCACAGATAGCCCTCCAGGCTAGAGTGAAGTGCCCACGGATGCATACCTCCTCCTTGTGCCTCCTTTCCAGAACCACAGCAGGTGAGGGAGCACCCCAGGTCCCAGGCTCTTCCCTTCAGATTTTGTACTTTTACACACCCAAACATGAACCTTCACCCTCTTGCAGAAAGCTCTCAGCCAAAATGAGTGCAACGCTGCAGGACCAACAAGCATCTCCTAATACTAACCACCACCTCGGTGCCTCTGCAGAAGGGCTGAGGTAGCTTCCCCATGTTGCAAGAGAGCCAAAGCTGAGCAGGCAAGGCTGCTGATGGGCACTGCGACAGCACATGGGCAGCCCCAGCCCTCTGTCTGCCTCTGAACCCTTGTCCAGGAGCAGAGGGCAGCAACTGCAGTGCTCCCTTTCCTCTCACAGCTGGAGAGACCACAGGGCCCCAGGTCCTGACCCAGCCGGGGAAGCTGAGATTCCCACAAGTGGAGGAGAAGGAGCATGTCGGGATTTTCCTGTTTGCTTTTGAAATGCTGATGCTGGCTATCTGGGCGTCTCTGTGTGTGTCTGATGGGAAGCGTGCACCAGAACTGAGGGCTCTGTGGCTTGGGTTTGTGGTGTTTGTGAGCCGAGTTTGTCAGTGGTAAGTTATTCTTGTCAGAGCTCCAAGTAAACAGTAGACAGATACTTACCCCTTTGAGCTGTTACAGTTTGCCAAAAAAACTATGTCTGAACTTTGAAATTTGTCCTTTTATCTTCTGCCTTCCTGACCCTGCCTCTGCCAACAGCAGGGCCCTCTTGTCAGGGGAGTGTCCTCCAGGCACAGCGTATGGAAATGGAGGAGGGGAGTTTTCACCTCCAGAAATCCTGTTTTGCGAGATGAGGATGCCTGGGTTTGTCAGATGGATGGCAGCAGGCAGCTCCGTGCAGTGAGGACTTGTCTGCGAGACTCTCGGTGGGGCTGAGGATCATTTCTCTGGGGAGAGGGGGCAGGGCAGGGACATACACACAGTAACAGCAGCGCAGCTGATGGGTGATGGCTCATTAAGCTGTCACGGCTCTATGGTAACAGAGTGTATGGCATCCACATCTAAAGCAAACACACAGGCTTTGATCAAGTTTGCTCTTATTATTATACTAGTGGAGTTCAGCCCAGCCTGGGCTCCTCTGGAGCAGGAGACTTTGCAGCTTGCAGGATAAGCCCTGTTTCTGCTTCTACAGGGACGCTTTCAGCAGGTTTCTTGTTCCTGCGCCCAGCACCTACCCAGGGCTAAAACAGAGGGTCAGCTTCGCCATCCTCTGAAGCTATGTGCAGGCAGCAGCCTGGCCTTTATCTCACATTTTATACCAAGACTGCCTTCATGAGATTCTTAGAGGCCCTACTCAAAAGTTTTATGCATCTCACTATTCGGTGAGGCCTATGTGGTCTGTGGAAGGAACAGTCTGAACAACTTCTGATGAGCTGTTTTTGGATGATCCATACACATCTTATGTATGTCTGTTTACGACCAGAATAAAAGATAACAAACCCTACAGTGTCACACTTGTTTTCCTCTTTCGGGTATTTAGAGGGACAAGAAATAAATCACATGAATCTATGAGTCCTGAATCCTGGGATAAAAAACATTAGCCACACTCAGAGCATATCACCTCTGTGCTTTGCAAAATTAAAAACTCAGGAAATACATAGTAGTGCTCTAAGCCATTTTTTTACCATCTGCTTGAGATGCTGCAATAAAGGTATTTATTAATATTTATTAAGCAAAATACAGTTTTTCAGTATTGGTCTTTGGAAGGGGAGGGGACTTCTGGCCTTTAGGCATTTCATTTTCTTTGGGGAAGGGATGATCCAGCTCTTCCATTGACTTTATACATTTTGGATAACGTCCAGTCAGACCTCCTGCAGCTTCTGTCTGCGTGTTTGAACAGTTAGATCATCTTTGGCAGCTAGTAATATATTTTTGATTTTTTTTTTTTAATGCCAATGTGAATATTGATGTTCAGCAGGTTATCAAAACATGAGCATCCATTACTACAAAGAAACCATTGCTGTTTACATTTCAGAGCACAGTCTTGAATTTCTTCTCATCTTGAGGAACAGTGCAGGAAGTGATGCAGGGTGATGGAGGTTCAAATACATCCTTGCAGTGAGCAGGTCTGTAAATACAGCTGTTTTAGGAAAGAATCTTTGTGAAGGATTGATTTCACACTGGCTGCCCAAATGTTGCAAGGAGTTTCACCTTTTATATGCCATGCAGGTCACATCCTTAATAAAAGCACAGTTTTTCCTGCAACCTGTAAAGCTTAAAATTTCTGAACTAAACACACACTTTCCGTTCTTCCTGCAACCTCCTATGCCCAAGTGTGTGGGGTTTCTTTGTCACTGAGGTCTTTTAATCATGGAGCAATTCTTAATGTCTCCAGGTTAGCCTTCAGTCCTGGTGCTGTCCATCTCCTGCCATTGTCTTCTTTCTTTAAAAGGTGACCATGTGAAGAAGCTGGCTGACAGTGAGCTGTGTAAACTGTTAAGGGAGCTGCAGTTGTAGGCCTTAGTGTAGCTCATCGAAGTGGGACTCAACCAGCCTAAAGGGTATGATGAACTGAACACATCCCAGTTCCCTGTCATAACATATACTGTGTACCATGCTGACAAGCGTTTGTTTTTAGCATAGGTAATCACTGATATGTTCTTTTAAGTGAGATTCATAGATGCTGATTACATTTACTGCATAAATTACTTCATTATTAAAATCAGGTCATTTGAGCCCCAAAACCATTAGCATGCAAACTATTAGCATAATTTCATAAGCTAATAAATCAAGCACAGGAAAAGAATTAAGCGGTTCCTAGTGATAAGTGTTTCTTCAGAGATTAAGAAACACAATTTTCTTATGCATATATTAACATTTTAAAAGTGAATTCATGCAAAAGCAATTTTTCTGCATATATAAAACTTATGTTTAATAATCTTTATATTCAGCCTCCAGAGCTGTTTCAAAATTAATGTGTTTTTTGTTTTGTTTTTTGTTTTTTTTTAAATCAATGTACAGTAATTTGACGTTGAACCAGCTAGCCTGTTTTGATATACTCTACCTGTAAAAATCTTTATGCCTTTATTAAACAGTCAAAGCTAAGAAATAAAATAAGCCAAGATATGATTTAGAAGAAAAATAGCTTGGGCTCATCTTAGATAATGAAATGTTCATCCAAGGTAAATTTTGTACTCTTAATCTTAAGCAGTACCAATGAAATTGTAATTATCTCCATAATTGCAATCTAGAATTGCAGTTGTCATCTTATTAAAATGGTGCATTAAAATTGATTTAATTCCCATTTCTTATGTAATAGAATGTAATATTGGCCAGAATAACACAGGGATGGGCTCCTCTATTCACTTCACTGACTAGATTTAAAATAATACAGTAACACAACTGTAATTATTTGGATGCTCAAAAGTTGCATGGAAACAATGCAAATTCCAATGTAAATGAAACTGTAATAATCAGCAGATGACACTACACAGGAATTTTCTTATGCTATGAGGTGTCGATGATTTATTATGTTTAGTTTGTTTTGTTTTCTAGCTCCTAACCTACTGTTTTGGTCTATTTAGCATATATATATATATATATATATATATATTCAGTATGAGGCCCCCAATGATTTGCTCCAAGGAATAAGAGAATGTAATGTTTTCAGAGTGGCACTTACCATACTGGGGAATTTTGGGTCTCTTGGTTCATACAGCAATACCACAGCTTCTGTCTTTTCTAACCGACGTGAAAAATAGCTTTTAGTAGTTGTTTGTGCTTGCTGCTGTTTAATGACCAACTTGACTAAGACAACACCAAGCTGAGAACTGCCTTTTTCGGGAGTGCTGGCATGGTGCTGCCCATCTCCCTGAGCTGGTTCACGATGTGGCCAGCCAAGGACCACAGCTGGCACAAGGGAGGTGGAGATGGCATGCAAGAGGGGAAGTGCAGGGACAACCCTTTTCATGGCAGCTGGTTATTTTATCAGTTTTGCTGCAATTTGAAGCCACAGCCACCGCCACATCAGAAATGGTGGTGTCCCAAGTGCATCAGTAGAATCACTGAATCATAGAATCATAGAATGGTCTGGGTTGAGAAGGACCTTAAATATCATCTAGTTTCAACCCCCCTGCTCTGAGCAGGGTTGCCAACCACTAGAACAGGCTGCCCAGGGCTGCATCCAGCCTGGCCTTGAATGCCCCCAGGGATGGGGCATCCACAACCTCTCTGGGCAACCTGTTCCAGTGCCTCACCACCCTCTGAGTGAAAAACTTCCTCCTAATATCTAACCTAAATCTCCCATCTTAGTTTAAAACCTTTCCCCATTGTTCTATCGCTATCAACACATGTAAACAGTGGTTTCCCCTCCTGTTTATACACTCCCTTGAAGTACTGTAGTGGCGTCCTGTGAGCAAGCGAGGTAGTGAGACAACCAGCAGACAGCATGTGTGGAACAGGAGGCCAAAATGAGTGTATTCTGGTTGCTCTTGTTATGGCAGTGTAGATCATGTGGTGGGTGAGGTGAACCTGTGGTTCAGAAGACCAAGTATTATCTCCTAAATAAGGAAGCAGCAGTGTACTGTCAATGTGCAACTTTCCATGGCGGTTGCCCAAACCTTTCTTTTTCTGTGCTCCTTCCTCGCCTGTATTTCCATCAGAAAGTACACGGATGTTGTAAATCCCCCCAAATATTAGTGTGCTCTGTACTTTTCCCTAGTTTGAGGATTCAACCTCTTACTCCTCAGTTATGGTCTCTTCTACGTTCTTCCTTTTAAAGCAGATACTAGTCACTGCTGCTCCTGGTAGGTTTTTAGTTTGTTAGGGTGCTATTGTATATGTATAAATCATTTGTATCTGTTGAGGATTCCCCTGGGTTATGTTTTGGGTATGTCTTCAGGAGGGTTTATCAACACTCAATTCCAGGTCATAAACTAATTTTTCAATGCTTTTGTAACTAATTGCACAGAGGAGATGATGCATCTAGCATAGGGCAGGTGACAACACCCATGTGAAATGGCTTTTATGAAAATTTTCTAATCAAAATGTGAGCACAGTAGAATGGTTATGAAGTGTTTGGCAGTGTTGCTTTCTGTATTGCTGAAGCTGAATATTAAAAAGATTTGAAATCTCATCTGGACAAATTGGCATGATTTAGGAGTTTTTATAATACAACAGTCCCATTTGAAGTCAAATGGAGGATACTGTTCAAATGCAAAACCTGACAGTGTCTTTGTTCATATGTAGTAGAATACTGTTGAAGTCAAAGGAAGATTACTCAACTGAATAAAATTTCTGGGTCAGGATCTATATTTGCATGAATGAATATATGTAAAAACAAGAATTTACATTTCAAGGATTCTGTGGTTATTATTCTCAGGTAACACAGATATCTTGCCTTTTACAATGCTAGCTAATCTTTTTAATGTGAAACATCCTAAATGAAGGACCTCACTTAGCCAGGCAGCATCCTGTTTTTCAGCAGTCTGTGAAGAGGAAGGTTCCTGAGGCAATGGGCTGCACACCTACGCTGGCTTCTGCTCTGACTGAGTCTTGAATGAGTGTCTGCACTGGCTACAGAGACTTAAGGAGACTTTTAGTGGGCAAAATGAAGGCATCTCTGCTCAGCTGGACACAACAGAGCAACATATTTGAACTGCAGAATTTGTTTCACTGCTTTTCTCACTGTCATTCATACTGCCCACATTTTCTCTTTCAATGTATTTTTTTTTCCTGTAAACTACTGATCCCTATTGAAAGGGTAAATTCAGCTTGAACGTAATTTCTAGCATGAACAACTTTCTGGCATACCTTTTTCTCAAGGCTCACTGAGCAGTGGGAAAGAATATTTTAAAAAGCAGTCTTTGAATGATGCCTTATTCATTATACTAAATAGCTCATTCATTTACTAATCTCACCACTTCTAACTACTGTTAGCACATTATACACACTTTCTGACTCATGAAGGAAGAAAATAGAGAGAAGTGGACTGTGCTGTTTGTGCCTGGTGCACATCAGTGGCAGCAGGATGAACAGGAGTTCAGATATCTCTCTAATGGATTCCATTAAAGAAAGAAACTGCTTTATATGAAAATGCATGTAGGGCTGCACGTTATATGCATAGTTCAGAGCCAGAAAGGCTGGGGTGTTCTGTTTGTATGTACCTGGTTGCTTCCTGCTTGTCTCACTGCTGCTATTCTCCCATGTGCTTCTATAACCCATCCCAAGAAACACACCTGTGCTGTGGCTGCTTCTCAGACACCACTAGCAGAAGGGGGACAAACTGTCATGCCGCTCCTTACTCCCTATCTTACTCTAAAGTGTATGGGAAGGAATATTCTCCTGGATCTGGGGAAGAGAACTTAGGAATCATCATACCCTATTTGGGGTATTTTCAACCATTACCTAAACTACTACCTTTCCACCCCAGAAGTCCAAAATGCTTACGGAAATCCTGAGGCCTTGCAGATTTTCTTCTGGAAAAAATGACATTGCCACCAAAATCTTTCAGGTAGCAAGAGTAGCTGCCATTCTGTTCTTGTTTTGTTGTTGCTGTTGTTTTTCAAAGATCTCTTTTTACAACACAAAATGTTCATTTTCCTCCAGAACAGAAAGTTCTGTGGAGGAGGTAAAGCTGTGTAAGAAGTAGTGCTGTGCTGTTCCCCTAAAAAAGCCTAAAGTAAATTTGTTCCTCAGAACTAAAATTACAATTTACCTTTTTAAGTTTATTATTCTCCTGGTTAACTAGCACATACAGTGTTTTAATTAGAAGTAAGAAACTTTAGATAGTTGAGATAGAAATTGGATCATGCACCAGAGGTTCTTTTGGGAGAGATGGCACTCCCAAAGTCCATTGGCAACCACAAAAATCTCTGTGGTCATTTCAGTAACTTGCTTTGTTACCAAACCTACTCACTTATTAAACTAGCTAGACAGTTCAATCATTGCTCCATTTCTGAATTGGGAAGTATTTCTTTAAGAACAAAACAGGGGAATGCACTTGTTGCTATAACAAAAATCTGCAAACCTTAGGACGTGTGAAAATGTTTGACTGCTGCTGAGCAAAGCTTTTGTGTCAAAGAAGAGTTTAAGAAAAATAGGATTTAACATAGCATTCCTGCTTTGTCACAGGTCTTGTGCTGCAAATTTTAAATTATGATATTGAAGGTGACAGCAGAGTTTGTGTAAGTGCCCGTTTTTCTGTTGAAAATCTCTGATGTGATGTACATCGCCTCAGTTTATCAAAATCTGTTCTTCATGCATCTTGTTAACACCATTTTCACTACTGGAAATTTATGAATGATATGCACTGTTGAAGAATAAGAACCAGTACACAAATGGTTCACCATTTGTTGCACATCAGGCCTTGAATATCTTCTCCATTTTCTTTGTAACCTTAATCAGGCCAGACACCATTCAATTTTTATGAAGGTATTGGAAATTTTCAGTGGTGGTGGTAGTCATAAATCTCAAGATAATTGAAAAATCATGAGACTAAGAACATGATTTTTTTTAAGGCTAATTTATTTAAATTGAATTCAGATGCTAACTCAAGACTTTAAAATTTTCTGTTAAAATTTATGCAAAGCAATGTAATTCACTATTTTTAATTTATCAGAATAACCTGCTTGTGCTTTATTTGCTGTTTTAGGAATCACTCACTGTGGCTGGTAGAAAAACGTCTTCCTTTTCATTGCAGTTGGTCTGCAGTTCCAGATTCTTCTTCAAGAGAAAAATATCTAAGATTAATTGGATAAAATTGGAAGAGTTTATTGAGCTAAACTGCTGAAGACAAAGAGAAGACCTCCATTAAGACCGGAAATTGAGCCCACAGGATTTGGGTGAATTAGGTGAAGAGCAAATAGTGACAATCCTATTGTAACTGATGTGAATGCATTTTACACTTTTGATTACATAGTTTTTATTAGTGAACCAACATCAGCTAAATTTGTAAGACTAATATGATGTGGTTTTTTGTTTGTTTGTTTTGTTTTGTTTTGTTTTTTAAGACTTGCACATAGAGAAGTGCAACACTAGAGATTAAACCTCTGTTTCCAGGCAATTCTAAATAAGGACAGCCAAGTTAAGGCAAATTGAGTTAGTGATGTGAATCCAAATTCCATAAATTAAAGGGCATTAAGCCTCTTCTGTGTCATTTAGTTCCTTCAGGTTTAGTGCAGCTGTAGACTTGCTGAAGGACTGAGCTCATTTCTTGTTATTGATTGCTCTGAAATTTTGTGTATTTTAGACAAATTCCAAGAGTGAGAAAACAAAGGTTGAAATGTGTAAAATTAACATACTTATGGGAAGAGGAGAAAGTCTTACCAAATAAGTTACCTAGATACAGTTTGAAAGTAAACAATATTGCTAAAGTAAGATCTGTTGAAGTTGATGAAACTCGTAACAATAATGGTACTTGATTAGAAAATATTCCCATCTCTTGGGAGCTATATTCAGTGTGGAAATCAGGGACAAATCAGGGAAGATACTTCTGAAGTATTTCCAAAATAAACATTTTAAATATTTTATTAATATTTATTACCATTTTATCCTCATTAAGAGAAGGCTTGGGGAGATCTTATCCATATTTACACATACCCTATAGGAGGGAGGAAAGAAGGCAGAGCTAGTCTCTTCTCACTGGTACCCAGGGGAATGGATAACAGGCAATGGGCACAAACTGAAACAAAGGAAATTTCATTTAAACATATTTTTTTCTGTTGTTTTTGGTTTTGTTTTCCTGTGAGGCTGTCTAAACACTAGAGCAGGTTGCCCAGAGTGGTTGTGATGTCCGTGTCTTCAGAGAGACTCAAAACCCAACTGGATGCTTCCCTGAGGAACTTGCTCCCTCATGGACCTTACTTTGAGAAGGGGATTTCAACCTCAGCCGTTCTGTGATTCTGTGTATACAGGTTGTTGTTACTGAGCTGTTAGCAAATAGATATGAGCAAAAATTTCATCTTTAAAATTTCCTCTGCTATCATCTTATTTACAGATCTGAATACATTAAGATGGGCTTTTAATGACTGAATTTCCCTTTCTATAACACAGTGAAAATGATAGCTCAAATGTAAGCAGTCCTTTTAAAAGCCTATTGAAAATTTAAATGTTATGCCAGCAATTCCTCTTTAGGATTTAGACTCAGCCGTCAGTTATGTGGTTATTGACTTTATCTTTGGTCTGCAAGAAACTTTTTCTCCAGATCTTCACTGATTTTTCATTTTGGGTTTCTTAAGACATACTCCTTTTGATAATACTTAGTCATTTTTATTTTCCCTTGCTGATTCCAGTATACTGTAGTATGCTAAAAAGTGCACTTAGTCATAAATGACTTAAGCACTTTCAGTAATCTTTGCATTTTGCCCAAACTGGCTTGTTTGACATCTCTCTTCAAATGTTCTGAATTTTCTTTCTTGCTAAATAATCCAGATGTTTGACATCAGTTTTAGAAGAGGTTTATGTACTTAATGGAAGCATGCAAAGATACAGAGCTCTGGAAAGCAGCACAATTTCTTCTAATTGTGTCCACTGTCTGTATTTATCACTGCTGATTAGTGCATGTGCCTTCTCTCCCACCCCAGCTGCCACCACGCAGATGGCATTCCCAGCAAAGTAAACAGTTCAGACGTAGTACAGTATTTGTGGTCTGGAAATGTTAGCAGATGACTGAAAAGGGGGAGGAAGAGGAGGGCTAGATTTACATGCTTCAGGTCAAGTTCTGCCCTGAATTCTCCCAAGTCACTGCAAATAGGTCCTGGGGGCTACCAAGGGGAGGGGGCAAGAAAGTGCATCTTTGATGCGTTCTGAGGCTTGCATTTAAGTTTCCATCCTATACAGTTATTTAGTTCTAATGCTGTAGCAACTTTAATTTATTAAAAGGGATGGAACGATTTGGTTTTGTTTACCCTAGAAACCAAGTAGAAACAATGAGGAAGAAGAAGACATCCCTGCAAAGATGTTACGGTTGAACTCAGACAAACAGTGGAACATTTACAGTGTAAACGTACAGATGTCTAATGACAAGCAAACAAAACAATTATTCTTAAGTAATGATTTATCTTTGGTTTATTTTTAAAGACCTTTTACTCAGCCCTTTCATATTAGTCATTTCTATATGCTTTTAGTGTTGTATGCTGGCCCCAGTGTTTACTCAGAAAAATATGATGGTGTGGGGTTGGATGTAAGAGAAGAGAAAAGGGCTTACATGGTAACTTTTGAGACTAAAGGATAATGTAGTCACAGGTGCCCTTAATTTGTCTTTAGAAATTCAGCTTTCAGGTGTATGTAACTTTTTAAATTTTTCCTTTGGGGGGGGGGGGTGGGGGTAAAAATATGTGAAAGCTCCCAAACTAGCAGGTGCCTCAGAGTGAAAAGTTTCAGATAAAATGATTTTGCTGAACAAAGCTGAAGGAAAACGTTGCTGGCTTACGTATCTTAATTACATTCCTGACAGTGTTTTGTTGAGAAGCTGTAGTAACTTCATGTGTTGCAACAAGGACTTGACATTTGGCACATCTGACAGCAGAATTTTTTTGTCTAACTTGTGAAAATTCATTCAAAAATACCACTCAGAGTACAAGCTTCTGAAAAATATCAGTTCATAAACACAGCAGAGTTCTTGCTGCTCAGCTGCAGCAGGGTCACTGAAGCACCAGATGTCCTTTCCAGTGACTCGAGCTAGCTTTAAGCAGGTATTTGCCCATCTGCTTGATGCTGCTCCCATATCTCAGATGTCATAGATGATTATCTGAATGCTCAAACTCTGTTTCAGTGCAAATGTAGGAAAGCAGTGCCATTCACTGACAATGCCATCTTAACAGCTGCCAGCTGTTCATTCCCAACCTATGCCCTCCTTCAGCTGTCCTTGTAAAGTTTACGGGGCCATGAGACAACTTGGATCAGATGTTCCCCACCCCCTCAAAAAAAAGGAGAAAAAAAACAAAAACAAAAACAAACTCAGGTTATTTTTAACTTGAACATATTCAATGCAGGGATGACCACAGATAATATCTGTGACCTGAGATATTAGAGCAACTGCCTCTTCCATGCACTAATTTTCTTCTTGCTTTTTATATGCAGGTATCATAAGGAAACCAAACTGCATTTGTATCTACACTGCAATCAGGATAGCAAAGGGAGCAGCTGAGGGCTGGCATTCCCCCTGCAGAAGGCAGACAGCTGTGGCTGGTAATCCCCTGAACTGCCACTGTAGGTTTTGATAAAGCTTCTCTGGCAGAGCTCTTTGTGCTCTACCACCTTAAAAGGTAAGTAAAAAGTGCTAATAATACCGATGTATAAAGTCAAAGCCTATGCTACTGCCATGAATACTTCATTATGCATGAGAAATGTTTCTGTCTAGAAACACAAACAAATGTCTTTACTGAGCAGGAGGGAAATTTTCTCAACTATTTGGGTAATTAGAATCAGAAAACACAGGACTATTGGACACACAATCAATCAGCTTTCTGTGATAATCCATAGATTTCCCATTTTCACCCAGACAAGCCACTTACAAATACAGGTCTGTATTTTTAACTAGAAATTGAATTTGAAAAAGATGTTTTTTGAAAGTGGCATAAAAGTACTTTACAGTCTTTGTGCGCTACAAAGAGTTTCTATGGCGGGAACAAATTGGCACGATACCGCTTGTGTTGGTTTCCATAGATAGCCCACAGATCCCTGGAGGTCTGTGAGCTTTTTATAAGAGGTCTATGAAAATTTGCCTGTGAAAAATCAGGGAGCTTTTATTTGCTATATAAAGTTCTGCACTTCCACTGGGACGAAAAAGACAACTAGGAGCCAGCAAACTGGTATAGAAGTTTAGATTTGTAGAGTAGCTAACTGCATACTAATTTCTCACATAGGTGACCATGTGTGTTCACTCATGATGACTTTACTCATCTCCTGGGTTGTCAAGTTTGTTTCTCTGTGACCAGAATTCTTGGGATGACAATAAAATAAAACTCTAAGTGAAGTTAGATAGTACATGACAAAGTTTGCAAGCAGTTGTGCATGTGAGAAAGGAGCAAACTGTGGATTAGATGAATGTACAAGGTTCAAGGAGATATATAATGTGGAAAAAAATGAATGATAATGATTTTAAATATATTTCTAAAAGCAAGCTTTGTTTCATTCTCCTGTGTAATTAAAATTTTAAGACCTGCCTTTCTAAACAGCATATGGGACACAGATTTCCTTGTCATCTGGGAACCAGTTAGATAACTTTCTGTGTATTATCCAAGTTGCAGCTGATTAGGCCATTGCATATACCAGAAGTTTCCTGTGATATTTGTATGGACTACCATGGACAGCAAAACTATCTTGGAGCTTTTTGAAAAAATGATTTTCACCCCAAAAATGTCTCTATTTGACTAAGCCAAAACTGTAGAAAATGAGTGAAATCAGATTTCAGAATACCAAAAAAAAAAAAAAATTTGTTAAAACATGTTTTTGACACTTCAAATTAAAGAGTTTGTTTTCCTCTAAAATGGCTCCCTTCCACAACGTGGGAAATAGTTCAAATCCAGTCCTAATTCAGTCTCTTATGTTATACAGAGCTGAAAACAAAGCTTGAAAGAAGGGAATGAAGGAGAACCACATATGAATCCCCAGGGAAGGAAAAAAAAAAAAAAAAGTATAGTTGTTCTACTTTCTCTTCACATCTGTTCCCTTTCCTTTAATCATTCATTGGGAGCTGTAGTTCTAGTATAATTCTTATCAGGTATCTATTCCAGCTAGTAAAGCATAATGGTAGTGAATAATCTGTATCTATTGTTTTAACAAATGTTCATGATTTTGTTTAATGATGAAATGAATACAAAATGCTTTCACTGCCTTCTAGCAGGGCTATTTATTTTAACTATATTGTAGATAAATGCTTAAAAATTCATTCCTTAAATCTGATAACAATAGAACACTTTTGCATGTTTGTGTCTTTCTTCCATACAATAATGAAAATATACTTTTTGTATTTTTTTTCAAGGTTATGCAGAAAGAAACCTAGTATATTAACTATAGTTCATTAGGGAACAATGGGAAAATTCTGTTTTATTCTATGTCCTGAAAAAAATATTGGTTAACTTCAAGTTATAATGTATGCTAAATGACTCCAATTCTGCTTCAGCAATTGGAAATGCAAAAATTATTTGCATTTTATTGCATTTATTTCAAAGCAAAAGTTTTCATGTACATTATACACTTAAATTGTTTTAGTTCAGTTATTTGGCCTGGAAATTAAAGTGAATAAATACTTAGGTGGACAATTGGAAGTAAGATATGTAAGTCTCAGGGTTCCACTGAGAAGAAATGTAGAAGTATGTATGGTCAGGGATGTTTAACTGAGTATATGGGAAAAAGGGAACAGAAGATTTCTGTATTTCTCAGGAAGGAGTATTGTGAGAATTTTTACCAGCAGAAGTTGACTAAAACAAAAATGTGAGGGTTGAGATTCAGGAGATTACTGAATTTGGCCAAGGAATTCATACAGTAAGTTACAAATCCTTGGATAAACTAAGAATGACAATAAGAGGATGAATCTCTTAGGAGGCTCTAAAATTGTGATGGATCTGAGGTCTGGTTACATTGAAGGAAATGAATCTCATGAGAGTATCTTGTCACTGGAGTGGTTTGTCAGGTGGAAGAACCTCTGAAGGCGCTTTAGGGGAAAGTCACTGGAGAGCAGCTCAGTCACATCTTTGTTATTGACTGACAGAACTTTATGATGACAGTCAATTTAGAAAACATCTGAGTTTAACTGTAAATAACTCTTCCAGCATTTCACTAAGGGGAGGGGATTGACAACTGGAATTTTGTAGGTGTCAGTAGTGGGAAAACTCCTTCCTAGCTCAGGTTCAGAAAGGTTTTGGGTTGCCTCATACCCAAGACAGCGATAGGGACTATACTACTACCGATGAAGAAGAAAGCTACAGATCCTGAAGCTGCATTGACTTATTTTAGTGCCTTCTTCTGTAGGTGCTTGGAGGCCCCCTTTGAGCACAAGGTTTCAAAAAAGAGAAAGCGCAGACTGTGCCACTTTTTTTCTCTTCTCTTTCCCTTCTTGCATGTAGAGATTGGTGTTTGAGAGACTCAGTAAATGGTCAGCCAACAGTCTCATGTGCAATGAGCTACTTTAAAATGGTGATTTCCTTAAGGCAGAATTTACAACTTTGCTGTTAGCCAACATAGTACACTTGTTGGGCAGATCTTCAGTAGCTGTAGTAACAGTCATACATGTAGTTCGGTATAATTAGGTGAAGCCTGAGCAGTCTGTACTATGTGAGGATTCCACTTACGTAACCAATGTGAAAGAACATCTACATTCAATCATTTTTCACGACAGAGGACTAACACAACCAAGACCCTTTTTATAGGGGCTATGTATTAATGGAATTAATTCAGTTAATCTTTTTTTTTTTTTTTTAAGTAAGTTTCTATGATTTTTGCACTCTGATATATTCACATACTCTCCATTTTCTATGAATTCATCAAGTTGCAGAGAGATTTTTTAAAAAAAGCATTGATTTGGATGTGAACTGAGAACAAATTGAAATGTTCTTGTCATTTCACCTGCTTGGAGGAAAAGAGGTTTTTTGTTGTTGTTTTGTTTTTTTTTTCTTTTACAGAGATGAAGAATTATTTTCTGTCATCTCATGTGTGTTGCCTCTTTACTTGAAGAGTTAAAGAATATATGCAAGTTTAATTATTTTTTTTTTTGTCTTCCCTTTATGTTACTCACAGATTCTTTTTTTTTAGTTATCTCTTCCTAATATTATTATTTTTTTTAAGTCTTAGTTCAGTCTGGAGTCCTTTATCTGACTCATGTTGTTCAGATTGACCCAAATGAATTCGCTGAATGTTCTATACAAACTGCAGGGACTATTTAAAGGCAGTGTGCTAGAAGGGCCATCACAGCTCAGACTAAAAAAGATCCATCTAGCCCAGCATCTTGGCTCCAAAACTGATGAGAAGTGGTGAAAAGTGGATGGTTACTACTGAAGAATGTTATAAAATGATAAGCATGTAGTGATAGCTATCTGCCTTATCTTCCCAGCTTCCAGAGAGATGCAACATCCTAAGTCAGAGGCAGTATCTTTGTGTTGAATAGATCTTGATGGATCAATTTGTCCAAGAAATTTTTAATTCACATCAAATTCAGTAAACCACAACAGCCTGAGGCAAGGAAATTTTAAGTTATCTATGTGCTATAATGAGGCAATGCTTCTGTTTTTATTAGCTTTGAATTAACCAATTATTTGTCACATCCTTGTTTACTGTCTTTTGTGATACAAAAACTTCCATTCCCTATTTGACCTGTCTTTGCTACTCATGATTTGGAGAGCTCTTTTCTCTGTTTATCTTCCCTTCTATGCTGACAAATTGTAGTTTTAGCTGTTCTTAGTCCTTGAAAATTGTTACTGCTCAATATATACTACATAGAGAAAGATTCCAGGAAGGGAGCTTCCTTGAGTTTATTACAAACAGGGATGCAAATCACTCATGCAGTTTGCTTCCACGGCCTTCTCTCTTCTGTGTGCTCCTTTTGTACCTTAGCAATCTGCTGGTCCTGCTAATTGATAGGTGTCCTGTTTGCTATGGAAAAGGGTTAACTGCAAATTTTTGATGGCCCTGTGTGTCTTGAGGCGTATGATGTGTTTATTTTCTATTTTCACCTTGAACTTCTGAGGGATATAGTCTTTACAAATGAACATTTACCCTCTGTTTAACCATAGAAGCTTTTTCTTAAGTATTTACTCTGAGAATTGAACCTGCTGGGAAATATCTTCCTCTTAGGACTGTCAGCTCTCATGTATCTTTTTCAACCTACTACTTTTCCCCACTTTTCTTAAACTTGATTACTCCATAGTGGATTTCTTCTTGTATGTTCATGTATGTGTAATGTTTAATTTCTTTACCTTTACTTTTAATGTAGCTCTTTGATATAGGACTTAAGGACTTAAGAACTACTTCTTCTTCACCCCCCCCCCTTCCCTCCCCCCCAATTATTATTCCTTTCATTTAAAAATAAGTGATTGTCTGCAATTTTCAAGTTATTGTGAAGAAAATTAAAAGATGGAAGGTGTTACTTTTTCTTTTAATGCATTATCTTTATTTGCACAGTCATTGCAATTAATATTTCTCTTTTCTAAGATAAGAGGATGCTGTTCAAGTGCTTCCATACAGCTAGAAACTGCTGAGCATCAGCAATGTAGCCCACAGGGTGTGACCAGTGCACCACCTGGGGATACATCCCAAAGCTGCCCAGTTATGTGTTGTGTGGGATCCTCAGCCACCTGCAGCAGTATTTTGGAGCAGGAGAGTAGCAGCAGTGGGTTACCACTGGGGCTGGAATTTATGGTTTCCCTCTGACCAAGATCTCTGGGACAAGATCTCTGGAGCACCTCTGTGAAATTGCAGTACATGCAATGTAACTAGGAAGGCCACTGTATGGGGCACGCAAATTCCAAAATCAGGGAAGTATTCAGGAAAAAGCACTAACAAATGCATTTTTCTCTAATAATTTTGCATTTGATTAACGGACTTACCTTACCTGAATTACCCTGATAGGCTCTGTCAGTTCAGCAGGCAAGAAAAATGTCAGCTAAAATACTGACTTGTAGCTGCATCTGAGGCAATGAACATGAACCTGAAAGACAGATAAAGGCAGTAAATCATTATATGCTGCTGGGGAAAATTAAAACTTGAAACAAACACTTTTTTTTTTTTTTTCCTCCTCTGAATTCACATATTAGAGAGGCTGAAGGGACATCTTTAAAAGTCATCTTACATCCCTGATACAACTATTGTTTCATTAATGTGGTTACAGGGCTGAGCCCTGCTAACAAAATGCACAATCTATTTTATTGTCAGCTTTTAAATCAAGCTGTTTCAACAAGAAGTAGTCAGACTGTAGGAACTTCCCCCATTTCATTGGAATGAGCCCTACACTATTAGGTATGTTTAGGGGGATATAAAGGATCCATTACAGAGTTTGCTGACTTGCCCAAGACAGCTTTAATAGATAGGGGGCCCACTTCTGTTTCAGGACAGTGGAAGGTTTGCATGAAACATATGAAACATACCAGAGAGGTCACAAACACCATCCACCTCCAAGCGTTTAAGACAGCGGTATAATTACCGTAATGCACAAATGAATGAAATTCTTCTTTTAAAATAATTTCTTGTCTTCCCCCATTCTTCTTTTTAGTGAAAGAGGCTTTATGTCTAGACAAGCAAAGACTTGAAACCTAGTTTCTTCCCAATCAATTTGCTTGTCCTGCCCCTTGAGAACTATAAGCAATCCTTGAAACCTTCAAGACATCCAAACAAATTATTGCAGAATCATTTTTTTTTCTCCTTGTAAGTCTTAAGTGCTGAGCTGTCCTGGAACATATACTGAAATAATCCTCTGCCAAGGTGTGGAATCCAATATGCATGTAACCACTCAAGCTTCAGGTTACCTGGAAATCAAGAAAGACATTCTTAAATATTCTTAAACATGGTAAAAACACCCTTTCATTTTCAACAGAAATTAAAAATTGTGGTCAGAGACCAAACTGGAGGGAGAACATGCCCTGTCCATGTTTTGGATAGGATATTCCCAATGTAGGAAGTGCATCTGGTTAAATCTGAAGCTTTAGGTGACTGCTTTTTGTCTCTTAGAAGTGTCAGCTTTCTTGTCCCCTGCCTGAGGCCATCCCTCATCATGCACTGAGGACTGGAGCTGAAATACTCTTGCTGATCCTTTTCCAGTCTGCCTCATGAGATGAGGATAACAGGCATGTAAGTGAGAGCTCAGTCTTTTGGGACATTTTGTGTCTTCAGTTGCCAGTTACATCAGACTAAAATGCCCCTATATGTCTGCTTCAGTGTCTTCCTTAGGACTTTCAAAGCAGTTCCTCAGTAGCACTGACCAGAGCACCCGCAATAACTGCTAGTCCATAAGTGACTTAAGTTGTGTTTAATGTTCTGAAACAGCTCTGTTACAACATTGCAGTAATGCTGTCCAAACCCAGCTCTTTATAAAGTGCTGTATTGTATGCAAGACTGATGTTACCATGCACGATTTAAATGATGACACAAGCAAAACTTCTGCTCTAAAATGGAGAAATTAAAGATACCAAAATATTATCTTTCCTCTTGCCAAGGAGAACAGCTGGCAGGATGGGTTTACTGATCAAAAACTTTGGCCAGCAGACATAGGTTATCATTTTCACAGACTTTCCTTCTGAAATAAAAGATTAACAAAGCATGCTATTTTTTATTTCAAAATTGGAGGGTTTGTGTCTTTCATCTGGTGAAATTTAGCGTAAAAGTGAAAATAATATCAAAGTTACAGGCACCATAGGGAGGCTGTTAATGTGGGAACAAAGGGCATTTGGCCAGTTAAAATAATAAAAGACTATACAACTTTCCCAGTGATGGCTGAAGCCCAATTAGTACTTTCCAAGTAGAGCCACAATATTCCTTTCCAGATTATGTGGTTTGGCATGACTCAGAATGAGTAAACTTACTTTTCTACAAGGGAAAAATATAATTAACAGAAAAAACAAGGTCACACAGTATTATGCTTTAAGTAAGCAGTTATTCACCATGGGGTGTACATTAAACAGTCAATATTCATACACCTTGGACAGGCTGAGGCAGAGGCAAAGTAATGTCTCAGCATACAAAAAGATACATATATTATCTTTATAATATGTGCACCTATGTGCAAGGGTAAAATGCAAATAGTTATTTTATTTCCTTACTAGGGGATGTGAAAGGAGTGCATATTCAATGTCCATGTGCATAGTGCTCAAACATATGTTTCGAAAAGTACTCTGTCAATTACCATTATATACTTCTCAGTAATAAATAGTAGTTTAGATATTTTCCTTTAACTGCTTCCTTTAGATATTTTTTTTTCTCTTGCTAAAGGCAGAATTGTTTGGAAAATTCCTTTTGTCTTAATTAATTTTGTTAAGAGGACTTGCAACCTGGATACTCACATGGAAAGGCACTAAGAGTCTATTCTGATTTGTAGCAATCCACTTTATAGGACTGTGGAAGTTGCATGAAGCCCACTAAGACTCAACAAAGCTAGAAATAAACTAGCAGGGTAGGGAAAATGAAAGAGAAACTTCCAGTTTGGAGGTGAATGTGCAAATGATTTGTAAGGATAGCTTTTTTCTTCTGTCTGTTTTTTGATAGTGTTTTTGAAATGAACAGCTGCTCGGTTGGAGCTCAGGTAGAGGGGAAATACACGTAAAACAAAAGAAAACATGGTGGCTCAGGGTAAATATATACTATGGCAGCAGAATGAAAGCTGCCCTGCTGAGACGTCTGGTTGTTGCTCTACTAATGACACTGTTCATGAGAAAGTGAAGTGATATGCCAGGAGGAAGATGAAAAAAGAAGAAAAAGTCAAACTTCAAAAACCAAGGAACCACTCCCATCACCTGAAGCTTAGACCACACACCTGAAAGGGAGTAACCCACATCCAGTCCCAGCAGAGAATGAACATCCTTATCTCCCTTTCAACTCCACCAGTTTGCAGTCATTTTATATACTTTTAGAAAGTGCTTGTAAGGGAGGAATTGCTTATTTATTTCCTGCTCTTTTAATTATTATGGTAACCTGTGATATCAGAAGCCTTCATTAGTCGCAGCGTAGCTCCTGCATTATTCTGTTTGTATCTCGGTTGGAACAGTTTTTTCTTCACTTCCCAGCCCCACCTGGGACTACTTACTCTGTTCAGATCCCAGACAGCCATCTGAACAGCCCTCTCTGCTGTAGCTGTGTGTGTGAAGGAGGAGGAAATGCATGGGTAGCAAATGTGGGAGTAAATATGTGATCTGCTATATTGTTTCAATGGTTATGTATAGGTAACATGCACAATATTCATACTGACTTCTCTTTAAATTAATCCACAAGTCAATAACTAATTGCATACAGTACTGGAGTGTCATCTACACAAGTTAAGATATGCCCTGAAATACCTGATTTTTAAGTAGTTACTTGAAAGACAAGAAAATCCTCACTGGCTATGGACTTGCTCTAAGTATCAAACTACTTCGAAGCAGAAAAAAAAAAAAAAAAAAAAACCTTACATTATAGACTATTATTGTAAACCACTCCCATTTTGACAGACTGAAGAAGAGAAGGCAGTACTGGGGCAAGGAGGCAAGGAGCAGAAGGGCTGTCCCATCAGCTGCTGCATACTTGCATCAGCCTGCATGGTACAGGAGCATCTGTGCTGATGCACAGCCCCTATTTCCTCGAGTGGAATTTTCCACACTTCTGTTCTTGAATCAGAATGTATCTTCTTACAACGTGGAATTACAACTTATGTAATCTTTCTACTGTACATACAGTGGAGCATGTATTTTTGCTCTTCAGCATTTCACCACCACCACTTAATCTAAGCATATACCTTAACCCTCTTATTTTAACACAGATTGATTTCACTGGTGTTAGGGAACTGAGTTGTTTAAGTAGGTGGTCTAACATATTTATTTGATTCAAGTTTATGAAGAAATGGAGATAGTATAAAAACAAGGAGAAGATAACTAAAATTTGATATACCTAAAGACAACTTTTCTGTATCTCTATACAAAGAAATCTACTTTTATGAAACAACAGTGCTATTTCATCTTGAGTCAGAGCTCTAAGAAATCTAATGCAAAGGAACTCAACACAAGAAATTCAAGGCAAATGACTGAGGAAAAAAAAAATCATTTTACATAGAAAATATTTTCTGGATACTTCTTCGTATAGATACCATAGAAAAGGTTTTACTTTATATTAAGTAATTAGTGAGACAAGCACCTCATATAAGTACAATCTTCTTAGCTAGGAAAAAAATATTGATTTTAATTTTAAATTTGCACCAGAATGTTGTGCACAAGAGGAAAAATAATTGCTTTTTACTTTGAGAATAATGCAATAATAAGATAAATGTTCAAGGGTGAATCTCTGCTCTTCAATGAAGCCATGATAGCTGCTTTAAATAGCTTAACAATCTCTTTCTGTATAGAAACTAGTCATGGCAAAATTATGCTGTGGAAAATAACATCTTGTCAAACAAGAATACCATGTTTACCTACAAAATCCACTATCCTGGCATGCAGTAATTGTATTTTATTTTTCCTTGTGTTTATGTTCTTGCAGTGCTTTCATCACCTTGTGGTTCTGTGTATCCTCCAGCACTGTATTAAGCAATGTGACTGATATCTGTCATGTGTACTTTAATTCTTTCTTAATTAGCCTAACAACTCTATCAGACTAAAATCAGTCATATGGTATTACCATCCATTGCATGTTTTACTTTGTCTCGTGTTTCTCTTTGTAAGGTAGTTTGTAAGTCCCTTTCCTTTATCAACAAAGTAAGTCTATCGCTGTCTAAAGAGGAGAGAAATGAAAAAAAATGTCCCAGTTTGACAAATACTCTTGTAAACTACAACTAGTAAAACTGAAAGAGGAGAGTTAGAGGAAAGAATCACTTTCAAATTAATCTTGTCAAGCCAGAATGATCATTTGCAAGTTTCTGCTACAAGTTACTGATGTCTGAACTTGTCTCAAATATTTCTTTAAAACTGTGAGTTATAGGTCAAGAGAAATAATCTCTTCTGACAGAAATATCAACTCAATTTTTGAAACCACTATCTGCATATGTTAAGTTTATAAGTCACAGATCTCAGGATTTGTAAAATCAAAGCCTTCCAAACTCAGCTTAACAAAATAAAAATACCAAGACTTATTCTTCTTTTGATGAGAGTCATTATGTTAACTCTGAAAAATGCTCAGAGCTTACCTGCTTGTTATACCAGTCATTAGTCCACAGCTATCAGCTCCACAGGGATTCCCTAAACAGAATACAACATATTAAAACATGACTAGCAACACACCAAATAGTCAGTACGTTAAATTAACCACTTCAACATCAAAGAAGGTATTATATAGCAATAGTCAAGGAGGGCACACTAAGTAAAACTAGCTTTTAATAACTTAATAAAATAATCCTATATAGATACAAATTCCCATCTCAATGAGCAGATTCCCATCAAAGTTAGAACTGACAAAAAGATTTTTTTGAGAATTCTATTAAGCTGCATGCCCTAGTAATTAACTCCCTTTTTGAAAGGATTTTTATTTTTCCAGCACTCAAAAAAAAAAAAAAAAAGAAAAAACAGACTATCATATTTTAAAAAGGTTTATCTTTCTTCCTCCAAAAAATCCCTCAAAAAACAAGTTCATCTTTCTTATAAATGGAGAAGCTCCAGCTAGCAACAATGTTCTAGTCTTCTACTCTCTTTAATCATACAGCAACAGGTATTTTAAAATTGCTGGCTTCCATGTCAAAATATGGAAATCTAAATCATTTTCTTAAAGATTTAAAGTTTTCACATTCCTGGCTCGTGGAACTACCAGTGCAAATTCATTAAGATGCTTCTGAAAATCTCAATGTCTTTTTAAACCTAACAGATGTAGATTCTTCATTCTAAATGCCTGATACTTGAGATGCAACATTTACAACTAGATAGCATCAAAAGGCTTTTGCTTTGTGAACAACTGCAGAAGTACTGATGTAAATAAATAGGCAAATCCTAATTAATCTGAAACAGTCATGTAAAGAAAATATTTCAATGGTACTCCAAAAGCATAGACTCTGTGAGTCTTAAGTGTTTAATTGTTATGTCAACTTCAAAAAATAATCAAAAATAAGTAAAAGGACAGATATACTATGGTGTGATTTCTACAAATAGACTTGTAAATAATACTGCTACTACAGAGCAGTCTAACACAGAGATTTATGAAATTATTTTGATTTAGATAACACTATTGTTTTCTACCATTAACAATGTGGAAGTAGCTAGCAGCTATGTGCCATGCTTCAGATCCACAACAGAAAAAAAAAAAAAAATCTGCTTCTTGGACAATCCAGAAACCTTTTCCCTAGCTTTACTGGGGAGAAGGTGATGGACTGCACACCCCCATACTTCTTGCATGCTACTATGCTACTTTGAGAGATTCTTTGAGTTTGGGAGCTTCTGCTCTAGTGGATCCAAGATTTATTTTTTTCCCCGTACAAAGTAAAATACAATATCTGAGCATCTATGAGTACACAAAAGAAAACAGATAGATAGATTTGCAGACATACAGATAAAAATCCTAGGTTACTGTGTGCATCATACCAGACTTAAACCATTATGTTCTATCACAGACTTCTGAAAAATTCTTACTCTTCAATGCATCACTCCCAGTGCTTTCAGTATGTTATCTCCCTTTGTCTCCCAACACTGTTCCTTTTTCTTTCAACTTATTAAAAACATATGTTACCTTTGGAAAAAGCACATTAAGAACAAACACGGTTAAACTATTTCTTAAACAGTAGTGTTGGCAGAGAGATTAATTTTAAAAATTGCTATAAAATAGGAGATGAGTTGCAAACAACATAGAAGGATCTAGGTAGGCAAATTAGGTGACTGTGGAGTTAAGTTGTCAGTAGGATACAACCATGAAAAAACAGATGTCATCTAAGGATGGACCAGTTACAGTATTTCTCATAGAGAAATGAAAACATCTGTGCTAAAGCACCTGAGAGCTTCTGCACAATTTTTTTTTCATCATGATCATGGAAGATAAAACAGGTAAAGAACTGCAGTGATTACCAGAGAGAAATCATCTTAAGAACAACGCTGCAAAATTTTTACTTGTTTAGTCTAACAAAAGCAAAAGCTGATACAGAAAATACTTATTCTCTAAAAACACAATACAATGGTAAACAGTAGGCAGGGATAAGAACTATTTACTCTACTGAACAATGTTGGCACAGGAACAAATGAGTGTAATTTGGCCATGAATAATTTTAGGCTGGAAATTAGAAGGTTTCTGACCAGAAAAGTGGTGAGTTTCTTGTACAAATAGTGGGGAAAAATAATAATAATTAAAAAATAAAGTTATTTAATGTTGAGTATTGTTAAATTCATGAAACTGCCTTGTGTAACTAAAGAACTGCATTTTGATCATTCAGGAGACAGTTTCCAAGAATTATGCTTGCCTGTTTTGTAAAAGCAAGGGCAAAATATATATATATATATGTAATTATATAAGAATTAAATCACATTTATGCATGTTATTAGAAATAGGGCTTAGGAAAATGCCATCCATATGTAAATGTGTCTGTAATTAAGTTTGTGCTTTGCTACAAGAAAACAATTTAACTTGATAAGTAAGTATCATATTGTACTCCAGTGTTTGGAAGTTGATTTTTCTAAATGGAAAGATGCAATCTGTCACATGCAGATTTCCTTCCTTCCTTCCTTCCTTCCTTCCTTCCTTCCTTCCTTCCTTCCTTCCTTCCTTCCTTCCTTCCTTCCTTCCTTCCTTCCTCCCTCCCTCCCTCCCTCTCTCCCTCCCTCCCTCTCTCCCTTCCTCCCTCCCTCTCTCCCTTCCTCCCTCCCTCCCTTCCTCCCTCCCTTCCTCCCTCCCTCCCTTCCTCCCTTCCTCCCTTCCTCTCTTCAATAGTTTACCATTCTAATTCTTTTATTTTGCCTTGTTGTATTCTTTTAGTCTCTTACATTCTAGAAAATGCTTTTATGAGGTCAGCAATGAGAGACAGCTGGAAAAAAAAGTCTACCTATTACACCAATCTGACCGCATTTGGCTACTGGCTTCCTCAGATAAGCATTTGTTGTTAGTGTAAAACAGCATTAGGAGAAAGAAAAAAATATGTCAATTGCTATGGAAAGACATAGTCTGAATATCAGAAAAAAAAAAAAAAGCAAACATAAAACAATGTTTGAGTTTTGAGTTAAAATAATAACTTGAAAAATGTTGTGAAACTAATTCCACAAACACAGAAGGAATTTGCTGAGATTGCAGTTACGAGGTTTGCCTGGAGACACAACATGAAAGCAGTGCTTAGGTTTTTCTTATGCTGCCTGTCATGCCTGTAATGGTCTCCCTGTTAATGGCCAATAAATGTGGTTCACCTAACACTGTAGTGGCCCTTGAAATTCAAAGCTGTGTTATGCCACTATGCCATCTGAGGAATTATAGTTGTTTGGAAACTGGACTGCATCCTCTCATCAGCAAAGCCAAGGAGCAGAAAGAAAAAGAAAATATTGCAAAATCAAAATAAAGGTATTCCCCTATCTGTGTCAAAATATAAACAACTGACAGAATCCCGTTGAAAACAGTGAAAGGATTACGTATGTGTATTTGAAAGTCATGCCAAAATTCTTTTTGCAAATGTATGTGTGCAAATGAATATAATTATACATTTATTTTCACCTTAAATTGGTTATTTATATTCACTCTGTAAGCCTACTTACAAAAGATTACTGTGGAAGAAACTGTAATCAGTTGCAGTATGCATAAGCTATTAGCTTATAGGTGATACGCTCATCAAATATTCTGAAAATACATCAAAACATAATCTAATAATATATCAAATGTCCCATTGTTAGTGTACTTGACCAGATAGTGGAGGAATTTAGCTGTACTATGTAGAGGAAAAGGGCACATACAAACTTCCCACCTTGCTGATCAAGGAGAAGCACAGTTATGCAGGATGGCTATAACAGGCTTCACTTCATTTGCTGAAAAAAAATAACATCCCTAATAGTCACAGAACCAAATTAAATAACTTTAGAATAAGAAAAAACATGTACATGTGATGAAGGCTTTTTTTTAGTGAAAAGTTGGTTAATTATTTGTTTATTGACATTAATTTGATTGATTTGAATTTTATTGAAATGATACAAGATTTTGATTGAAAAATTCCAATACTGGTTTATTTTTGCATGTCTACTATCACTGAAATATGTTGTTTCTTTGCTGAAGAAGATGTGAACGTCTACCTTTTTTCCAGCAATCAAGCGAAAAAGTACATGTTTGGAAACATGTTTATGGACAGCTACAGAATAGATTTCAGGATTAACTGTCTGAAATACAGCAAAAAATAGACACTTCCATATTTCCATAATTTTGTTAGTGGCTGAAATCAAGTGGTGCAAAGATGTAGTAAAAATAGTGCAAAATAGTCAAAAGCAAGAAACTCAATTTTCAGTTTACTTTAACTCAGCTTTATACATTTATGAAACCTTTTTTTCTCTTCTTCCTTCTTAACCACTCCTTACTCATAGTTACTAGCCACTGTATTCTGTAGCTTTTACAACTAACAGCTAACTGAAACTACAGACCTGAAGGCCTCAGGAAGTTTTTAAGAATAAAGAAGTCCACCTCATTAATTTTTTATTTATTTATTTTTTTGTCTGTAGTTGTTACTCAGGTACTAGCCATGATGTTGCAAGGTTGCTGACAATTTTCACATTTTTTCTTTACTTTTTTTACTTTTGCTTAGGAAGTACAAATGAGATACTTTAATAGTGCTATGTCCTCTTTTAAAAGAACATGTTTCTCATTAGGAGTTGTTATTTCTCCTTGTATTTAGTGCTTAATGGCCAAAATGACTTGTATATTGAAAAGTGAAAAGGGACTTCTGAGGAATGCATTTCCCCTCTTTGAAGTCTGGTCTGCCCATCCCAATAGCACCCAATCAGCAGATGGAACTTTTTAAGGTTCCACTGCCACTTGTAAGTGAATAGCTTTTCATTTAGCTTTTGAAATTGAAAGTACAATTCCCAGGGAGGAGAAACAAAGAGAAGCTACTCTTAATTGACAGGTTATTTGTGTTTCTGAAGGTTACATATGTTCAGCCACAATGGAGGAAGAAATGTAACACTGAGTATAATCAGTGCTCAGTAGAGCTTAGGTGTCTCTCAGTAAGTTCTTCTCTTCAGTGATGGTGAAGATGTCATAAGCTGAAATTGAAGAATGGCAGGGATCCTAAGAGATGTTTTGGCATATACTATCATATACTAGGTAGAGTATTCTGCTGAGGGTAAGCCTTTAGAAGTAATAAAGATCAGATTTTGGTCCCATCCCTTCTAATTTCTGCCTTATGTCTCACTTCTTCCCCTCATTAGCCCCCTCATAGCATTCTCTTTAATATAGTTAGATGTTATCTAAATTTATAATCTCCAGGTTCTAAGACCTTTTCATGTATCTGCTGTGATGCAAAGGGACAGGTGAGATCCAAAGTTTTGGTCCATGTAGTCCAACCTCTGAAAGAATTCGTGTTTTAACTGGCAAACTGAGCTTAAGGAATTAAATTAGCTAGTAGCATGGTTCTGGTTTCCATCAACATTGAGGGTAGTATGAAATAGGGGCAATGAATGTATGGTTTTAGGTTAATCTTTGGGTCAAACTACTTTGAATTTTTGGCAGGTCCTTCTTTTGCCTCTGCCATTTGGTTACATTGATTTTTGAAGCAAGTTTTCCTAGTGGACTACATTCTAATCCAACAGGAAAAAGTAATATCTGGGAAGCTATTAAATAAGGTTTCAGTAGCTTCTGTATTTTCTATGTGCATTAATTGTCAGAAAACTGAATAAACCAATTTGGGAGTAGAGAAGAGTATCATATAAAAGTACTTGCAAATGGCAGTAAATCCTTGAAGATGGAGAAAAAGAGTAAACATAACACACTATTTAGAAACTGGATGAAAAACAATTCTAAAGTAACTAGGTTATTGATCTGCCATCAATGAAAACTGCATTCCTCATTGTGCAAAATACACCATGTTCCTTCATCTAACTTTGGTCTCAGCTTGCTCATTTAAATAGTTTTCTCATGCAGACATAGCAAGATTGACTGAGTGCTGGATTATGAATGAATTTAAATGATCTTATGGCTCTGATGCAGTTCATAATCATAATTTAAAACAAATGAACAAACAAACAAAAAGACCCCTAACCTTTATGATTATAGTTAGAATAATTAAAACTCACGTACACATAATAGGAATATTCACAGATTCTCATGATCTAAATTGTATGTTTGTCTAAACCAACAAGTTTCTCTACTTCTGATATTCCAGGATATATTATTTTATTTACTAGATTTCACATTTGTCCTTTGAAAATACGTCTCTTAAAAAGGTAATATTGTTTCTGTGGGTGATGAAAATGAACAACTTACTCTGAGTTATTTAATGAAAAATCTAGAAACATTCCTATTTAAATGGTAGATTATATATATAGTGACCAAATTTTGTGTGTATATGTCTATATGTCTCTCTCTCTATTTATATATGTAACACAAATACAGAATTAGGATATTCTTACTGTTCTTAAGGAGAAGGAATGCATAATAAAGTCATTATTTTCCCAGTTATATGAAGGTGTACACATACAAATCTGTTTGTGGTTTAGGCATAGGAAGTGTATGCAGGTAACTCTAACTTCTGTTAAGGCCTCTTAGTGCTTCTCGTTTACATGACATTGTTCTCTGCTGCTTACAATCCTGCCAGACTTCTGTCATTCAGCTGGTATTTTCTATGCAGAGCATTTGCATCATGTTGCCTTTTTCCTATGTGTTCCTATTGTTGTTGTTATGAATTATTAGCATGCCATTGCTTGGAAGCTCGTGGCCTTGCCCCTTTTTAAAAATACAGTAAATGTTCTCATGCCTGCATGTCTGGAGAGTCTAGTAGAGGTGGAGAGCAATGAAGAAGGTGTTCTCCCTGGAGATATACCTATTGGTTTCTTTATGAAAATCCACCCATGCTGGGGCGCTTGGAGCTGCCTATACTTTGAAGGCCAGACTGGAGCAATAAAGAACCAGCCTCATACCACTGAGCTGAAACACAAAAGCTCAACTGGAGGGCAGAAAGGAGAGCGTAAAGCAGAATGGCAAAGAAAAGTCTGTTTAGAAAGTATTAGTATTGACTAGCCAAAGACTGGGAAGTAGGTTCGGAAGTGATAGTGATAGCTGTTGTAAGAGGTGTGGGAAGCCCAGGGAAGGTGTTTTGCATGTGCAGAGGGATTATGACAAAAAAGTCGGTACACAAAATGGAAAAATGCTGAGATGGAACAAAAGAAGCAACAGCATGGGGCAAAGAACTTACTCTGTGCTCAAGACAAACACTCTAAAGAGCAGCAATTCAGTATGTTTGTCCTCATTTCCTTGGGAAACCAATCCTTGCTTACCACATAACACTAATGATAGCAATGCAAATTTCCTACAAGGTTTTCCTCTAATACTTGTCTGTACATTATCTGACTCATATTTGTTAATGAAATTATTTTCATGACGTGTCCTGTAGGGTGAAAGAACTGTGTTTAGATAATCTTAATTATAAATAAATAAATAAATAAATACACAGAGATTAAGGTATCAAGTATTGTCTTATTTGGGACATACAATGTGAAGTACCAGAAGGTTATATTTTTGATTCCTTTACAGAGAAATGCATCCTATGCACATCCCCTGGCTCCAAATGTTGTTGTGAGAGCTCAGTACTTCAGCAATTTAGACACAACTGTCAACCATTTGGAAGATGAAGCGCATATCATAAAAAAGTCTGTTTTAAGTGATTGCCTAGCACCAAGTTCTGTAGCAGAGGAAAGGACACACTCTACCTCTTAAATATAATAAGAGAACCATTGAATATCAAAAAAGATGAAACTGTATGCAATTCATAACCAGCTCAGGCTTCTCAGCTTACCTGACAGAGACTGTCCCTCAGGAACAGGTAGCTGATAAGTTTAATGCTCATAAGATTTGAAGAAAATAATTCCATCTTAGAAAAGGAATTTAATCCATGCTGATTCTGTGCATAATACCAACCATGCTGTGTCACTTAGAGGAAAGGTGAAAATAATGTTTTGGCTTTCCAATGTAAATGGGATCTAGCTACTTAGGCTAATATGAACTGTATGGTCAGCTTAGAGATATTAGATGTGCAGGGCTTAGGTAGATCCCCTTTTCCTTCCAAAACAAAACAAACCAAAATAAAACAGTATTTAAGCTGTTCTCGAAGAGTACTACTCTGTATGAATGTCTATGTGAATAAACATATTTGGAATGTATTGGGTTATGGAAATAGTTTTTTCTCCAGTCTCAGTACTGATTGATAAGTTGAATTTTCTAGGTGAATATAACAAGAGCTGCCCACAAACACATAGAAACTAAAAGTGGACCTACTTCTCTTTAAGTAATTAATAGCTATGTTTTATTTAACTTAATAACTATATGGGTAGTCACCCATCTCAAAACCTCTCTGCATACCTCTCTCTCCCCTAGCCAAACAACCAGGCAATTCCTACTATGAGCAGAGGATGTATGATCACACCTGTTCCCCAGTCTCAGCAAAGTTTCTCAGCACTTACTACCTACAGGTGGTATCGCTACAAGTCAGAAGATTGGATGGTTTCTTTTGCCCTTGTGCCATTTGATATACTTTTTGAATTAACATAAGGAGTGGAAGAAACAGAAATTGGTGAGTATGAGAAAAGCCTTTTCTATTGAACATTTCACTGTGTATAACTGAGTATAATTCAAATGTATATTCCCTAGTGCACAATATCTGTAAAATACTGAGTATAAGTGAACATTACAATGGCAATCTAGAGTTAAATCAAAACAAATTGGATTTTTTTGTGTGTGTATGTGTTTTTCTTTTTCTTTTATTTTTACTTCAAGAACATTTCCCAACTTAACATTTTCCACAAGTGCTAATTCATTGTGTATTCAGGTTATGCATGTCAAGTCACGGATTAAGTATATTGTTGCAAACATGCTTTTGGATATGAAAGGGAAAGGCAAGGCAAGGCAAGGCAAGGAAAGTTTTCAGACACAGTTGGGGCCTTATTTTGAATTAATGTTCATTTTTAACTTTGTGTTCAATATGACAAATTTTAACATACATGTAATTAGGGGGTAACCTGATCTTGAACACACAACAATAAACTCTATTGGTACAAGAACTGGGGAAGTCGTTATCTTCTTTGCAACTCACATTTTGGAATCCATTTTCCCTTTGTGTCTGTCAGAAATCATTCAATTTTCAGAACTTTTGCTTATGTTGCAGTTGTGCAGATAAAATCACAGAGCAGGTGTATGTTTATATTTCATTAAAAAAAAAAAAGGAGTGAACTGATCCTGTGAGGTGCTATGCAAATATTTTAAAACCAAAGTTTTTTTTGGTTTGGTTTGGTTTTGGTTTTTGATAGTGTGTATAATATAAACTGAAATGGCAAAATTGTTTACCTCTATCACATCCTATGGTTATCACATAGCATCAAAAAGGGAATAAGCCACTTATGTATTTTAACTGTGTTTATGAGCTCATTTGGATTTTCCTCTGTTTAATTCTGAGTTTTCTGCATTGGAATGGTTGTTTTGGAAATGTTTCTGTTATCCTTTCAAGTCACTTTGGTCTTACTTTATTCTTAAGACTTTTGTCTGGGAATAATGGTGTCATTTTCATAGCAGTCAGACTGCAGAGGAATCTAGAGATGCTTTATACATACTTATCAATAATGCATTTTTCTGCATTCTCAGGGGATCATATTTCCATAGGCAGCTATATTTAATTCAAGAAACTGTAAGGTGAAAAATGAACAATTAAACAAACAAACAAACACAGCAGACCCTCCTGCTCAGGGCTTTTGTCCAAGCAGATACAACCATTACAGATCAAAATGTATGTGTTGTACAGAAGCTAATAAGAATTGCTAACCTATTGAATACAAATGTTATGAACAGATATATGGTCAAGAAGGTCCCTTCCATTTGTAAATAATCCTATCCTGCATTGCTGGTTTAAGTGTATGTTTAGCTGAGGTAATGTGTCCCGGTGAACAGAAAGCATCTTCTGTTCAACATTATGTCAGCTATAGTGGACTGTACCCTTATAATCAAAACAAAGCAAGAAAACAAACAAACAAAAAAGCCAGGAATAACTTTCACAAAATATTCATAATGGAAGAAAATGAATCAATGCATTTTTTATATCAGTGGCACAGGGCGTCTTGCCATTAACCCTAGTGGCAGTAGAATGGACTCCCATATGTTTTTTATGTGTCTGACTGAATCACAATCAGTGCCTAGATGTAGGTGAGGGCGTGGATCCAGCAGAATACGTCAATGGAATTTTACTCAAGTGAATAATTCTGTTTAATGGGAAACTTAAAGAAGTGGTTTGGCCCTAATTTTGCAGAATCATTTACAGACAAGTAAAACACAATGGAAACATAAGCACAAAAATGGACTAATATTGTAGTGCAATATAATGTAGATTAACTGTTGAATCACTATTGCTAAAATTTTTGGCTTTATTTTAGAAGTTTAATATTGTAGGTTCTCCCATTTATTTCAGCACATACAATGACACAGCTTAAACTCTTCAGCTGTAGCTGTGTCTGATTAGCGATAGCCATACTAGGAAATACATTAGTGGTACAGTTGGCTATATTTTAATGCTTTTTTATGGGGTAGTATTGCTAATACTCATTTCATGATCATGTAGCTGAAAATGTTTTAATGTTTTTTTACCTGATTAGCATGTGCAATATATCCTGCAGGCAGCCTGCCTTCTTTGAAACAACCACCAACCCAAAATGCAGGTCTTACTCACTGAGGTTCTCAAACTTTTTCAGAGTACTTCATAACAGAGTGAGTCTCACAAACAACCTCACCTCCTGAGGGCACTCTCCTAAGATCCTATGGCAACTACTGAAGGCACTTACATTGAGAGACAGCATTAGGCCTGACCAGCACTGAACATTATAAAGATGAGGCCAGTACAGAGCAGTAGGAGAAAGCCAGTGGCACATTAAGAATTCAGAATACAGAGTTAGGAGACTCCAGAGTGAATCATAGCACAATTTGGCTCAGGCCCTGAGATAAACATTTCAAGAGCATTTAAACTCCTTATTGTTTCTGCTTTGCTGCTGTTAATGAGGATATCTAGCAACCCATGACAAACCACTCTCTACAGACTGTCACGGCAGATAAGACTGGTAAAAAAATCTGAACGCAAATGCTCTACAGAAATAAAATAGTTAACAGACTACAATTGCAAAACAGTATATGATTCTAATGATTATGGTAATAATAATCACATAAATGCTAGCAGGTACTTGTATGATATTCTTCATTCAAAATCCTGTTTGCATGATCCTATCATAATTATACAAGTATGTTATATTTATGTACACAAAATCATAAAATAGTCATCATAGAACAGTTAAACCAAAACACCCAGTTCTCTTCTGAAAAGTTTAGTCTAAATCTCTTGTTTTATCACCACAGTATCATAGTATAGATTTTATAATTTCACTAGGGTTTAAGTCTTTGTTATGTGCAGATTTTTCTTTGTTAAGTTGTGAATACCATGTGAAAAATGAAGAATATATATTTAGTACTGAATAGACTAATTAATTCCAGCTGGTGTGGTAACTTGAGAGTATGCTGCCTAAGAAAAACAGTCTGCTAAATCACATTAATGAATAATCTAAAATTCAAGATTTTTCAATAATCATATTTTGTCCCCTTTCAAATTCCTTTGTTATCACAGCTCAAGCTCTAAAACCTTCTGTCTCTTCTACCTCAGAGAGCAGTATTCATTTGTGTACAGGAAATTTAGAAATACAATGAACAGTGCTTTAAGAAGACAAAATATCTACAATCCAAAGGGTTCAAGAACATCATTATTTAGGTATAATAGTTTCTTATTTAACAAAGAGTCAAAGCTGAATACAAAACCAATTCTTTGTGCAAAGCAATTCTGTAAGTGTATTTTGAATAAAGAAGTGTATTTTAAATATGCTTTCTTGTCCAGTTTTAACATGTACAAATACTGAAACACTTAATTAGATGTCACAAGATCATGCTTTATTATATAACTATGTGCTATAAACATGCATTTTTCCCCAAAAGAAATGCAACACAGTCATATAAATAAGAAGAAATATTGCTTACCTTCCTTAGCAAGTACTCCCTGGAGGCAGAGTAAATCTGGTTATAAAATGAAAAACAAGATTGAAGTGTACAACTCACACACATACAGACAGCAGACACAGTTGTCTCCATGAAGAATGCCTGTTATAGCCTTCTGTACATTTTTTCTAACTTCTCTGTACTGTAGTTATGCTACAAGGACTCTATGATTAAAATTACATTGTGTAGCATAGGTATAGGCACCAACATACTGCATAAATGGCTCTTACTGTTCCAGAAGTCACACACCATCCTATAGAAAATTTACACCTCCAAAACAGAGATACGTTACAATCAAGCAGATTGTGGCAAAACACTGTGCCTGGCTTGTCCGTAAAAGTTGTTACTTTCAGTGATCAGTACATATTCACAAAGCATGCTATCTTTACATTTACATATGTATATGCATATGTACAGGCACACATTTATAAACAGAGTCACAGCCTATCTCTCACTACCTCTTACTAAATGCTGAATAGGGGGGAAAAAATCTCGTTAGGATTACACACAATCATTTCCCTTGACCATGGCTTTTGCATTCGATTGTCATGTCACGCAACCAAGACCAGTGATGCTAGAGAGCATTTATAACCCAGACACAAGTAATTATTCACATAAGGCACCGAACTCATTTTGGCTTCCCCTGCGACAGCACTGCTACTGCTGTAGCAGTGCAGAGCCGCTGTGCTGTTACTCATTTGCTGCAGTCTTTGTGCAGAAGTATACGTTATAAACAAATTAGTAACACAATGACATCCAATGCCCAGCAACTAAAGAAAATCATAGAGAATCAATCAGCTCCTACAGCAGGCATGTAGATTGGCTGTAAAACCATTTAACAGTAGATAGATTTTCCTGTGCTGTCGAAGTTAAAGGCACCAAAAGGAAGCATATACTAAGGCATTTTTGTTCCTCTGTGATATTGATCCAATGCCAGACGTAGTAAAGCACAATGGGCACACAGTCAGCCCTGGTAAATTAGGTAAATTGGAGATCATTTGATGGTATTCTATTGTTGCTATTGTAATCACAGTAATTTTCACTGGTAATGGTGCTTCGTGATGAAGTGCAGTTCTCACAGGATAATTGTGAAAGGTATCGAAAAATTCAGGGTGTAGCATCTGGTTTTAAAAGCTCTTCAGATTCAAATTGGCATTTTACTTTATCTTGAAAATTTATTAGAGATTCAGATCATGCCGGTTTAAATGGAAAGGTGAAAGCAGGGTAATTTCAATCTATGAATTATTCAGATTCAGACTGGTGAAATTGCCATCCATGAACTGATTCTCTGACAGTCTCTTTTGCAGAGCCTCCATTACGCTTGTCATTTTTATTTCTTTATCTACAATCTCTTTCTCAGTTACTGCGCTTGTCCCTTAGGGCTGTGCTTCACAAACCAAGTATTTCAAATTGGCAATAACCTAAATGTGTTGCAGTCTCAAATCACAGTCTCCACAGGCTGTCTTTTCCAAATCATTAAAAACCACATCCACGATGGTGTCTGTTATGCTCTTCGATTAGATGAATTAAAAAAAAAAAAAAAAAAAGAAGAGAAGAGAACAGGGCATCATATCGTAGAACAGTTATGTTCCTGTAACAGTCCAGCAAATAAAGTGATGCTTTGTGTTGGTTCCTTTGTTGTCAGTGTAACCCATTCTAGCTGCATAGCATCACGCAGGAAGAAACAACTGTTAAAGCAGGCTGACTTTGTGCCCTGATTTCCAGCAGAAGCAGATAAGGGCTGCTTTACAGGCAAACTAATCCACGCAAACATACACTCAGAGACCAAGCGCAAGTAATAGCTTCTTACAGGCAAGAAAAAAGAAGTAATAGTAGTAGTAGTAGTAGCAGCAGTTGTAGTAATTGTAGTATTAGAAGAAGGAGAAGCGACTGGATAACCGAAAGTGTTTCGTTCTCACAGACTCCAACTGATACAGACTGCAGTCCCAGAGACTCTCCACTTGATGGCTGGTTGTGTCATTGCTAGTCGCCTGCTGCCCTGTATCCAGAAGGACTGGGATTGATTTAGTTCAGAGTCTGGTTTCTCATTTGAGCTTTGCTATACTGCTGTAAGAAATTGCGGCAATCTGTATTACCAATCTATACGACCCTGGGATGCTGGCACGGCTTCAGCAGTGGAGTGCCTGCAAAGGCCCCAGTCCGGCAAACAGTGACAAACACCATCATCTCCTTTGTCCTATGGCTGCAGGTATATCATCGTGGCATAAAGAACCTCTTAGTATACAAAATGAGAAACCAGGCGTTCTTCCTCAGAGGCAGTTTGGGTACCGAGCTCCGAACAGTCCCTGTTCAGCTGAGAGCGCTGCCAGGCTGAAGCCAACACATCCAGGCTGCATGTCTGTTCCTACGCTAACACCAGGAAAATCTCCCTCATACAAAAAAAAGACAAGAATAAAAAATCTATGCTGCTTTGTGCCTGGGTCTATGCGTCTGCTTTGCCGCACTGCGACTAGAAAACTGCAGCACTAAGAGCTCTGGCAGTTGCGATAATGTAGAAAGCAGCAGCTCTGTGACACAGCAGTCAGCTGACTTGCAGTGTTATCATTCAATGTCCTCTATAGAATAAGGCCAGTTTCTAAGGTAGCACCAGAAGGATGACCTTGCATACAAAAATTGGGCTAGAAAGAGCGGCCGTACACTTGTACACCTGCAAACGATTTGGGGGTGATATGTACCATTTGCATCAGGAACATGTGGGTCTTTAGCCGTCTCTTTTCCCTTCCTCCTTTCATTCTTTACAAAACAGAACTTGGCATTTACTGAGCAGTTTTCCTCCTGCAGTGAAATAGTCAATATAATAATATGCAATTGATTAAAACACTATTGATAGGTAAATTAGCTTAAAATTATTGGTTGTAAACCAGATTTCTCAAAAAAAAAAAAAAAAAAAAACGTAGGTTTTGGTTAGAAGAAAAAAAAAGAAACGTGACTACAGACTCACTTCAGGAGAAGTAATGTGATCAGGTAGACACATCTGAATGGCAAGTCTTAATTGGCAAGAACCCATTTCTGAATTCCCATCTAGACATTTCACTACCATGACTGAATTTCATGGCTCTCTGTAGTTCCCAACTAAAACCGCTTGGAACATTTGGTTGCTCATGCCTCTGGGAAATTGGAGTGGAAAGCTTTAAAGTTACAGCCGGCAAATATGAGAACTGTTTAAAGTTCAGAGTCAACAGGAAGCAAGTGCCTTACCACCACCTGGGACTTCAAGAATTCCCTTGGGGAACGTGGGGCATGTTCTTGAAAAAATTCACCATGCATCTACCTCCTTAAGTGATACATAAAGCTAGAGCAGCTCCTTCCAAAATTGCTATAAATCATCTTGCCAATCAGTTACAGAAAGAATTTATGTTATGTTATGTTATGTTATGTTATGTTATGTTATGTTATGTTATGTTATGATTGTTATGTTTGTTATGTTATGTTTGTTATTGCATTGGCCTAGGACAGTTCAGCTTCAACTCGTCTCAAAGGACGTGCCATAGTTGCACAGGCCAGAACTAAATTGGTTCTCACAGTTACTACTGGAGACTGTTCATTTCAGTGAGACGCTTTATAACTTCACTATAAAGTACTCATAAAGCCAAGTAAGTGAGCAAACGCTATACACCAAGTTGGTATCCATTGTTATAACTTTGATCTTGCTAAATTACATTAAAGTGGACATAATACAGAATTCTGCTATAACGAAGGAATTTGAACCAAAAGAACAGACGAGCAATACTAAAACCGTAATAGTGGTAAAAGCTGTGTTGTATCTTTAAGGTGCAATTCTCTTAGACAATGCAGACAGTAGAGCACCCATGCAAGGACTGCACGTCCATTGCTATATTGCTTCAGGGAGAGAAATGTCTGTTCTCATGTGTATCCAGTTAATGGACGAGTAATATAGCCACAATCCTGTCACTTCCTTAATGATATTTTATTAAATGCCCCAAAGGCATTTAATTCCTGCAGTCAGCAAAATCAGCACAGATGTCTAGTGGGGAGATTCCTGCCCTCTCTCCTCCCCTTCACAAGGTAACAACCACAATCCTCAGTTGCCTGCTGTGCCTCCATAGCACCATGCATGTGCTATTCAAGAATATTTTTTCATACTGATATAACTCTTATAAAAACTAGGAAGAAGCATGAAGTCTAGGCAAACTCCAGAAAGCCGAAGGTGCCTGTTTTTCTGCTATGTATGGATTTGATGGATGATTCGTGTTATCTTAATGGCTAGTAGTGAACCTCTCGCAGTGTCTCTTGGTTCTTCTCAGAGCTAGCGCCAGAAAACTCAGGTGTGCTTGGAGGCCCCAGATAAAAGACAGGGAGAGAGGGGGAGGCTCTTTTCAGAACTGGCCATGATTCTCCTCTTCTGCTGAGCTCCTCTCCTTTCCTCTTTGGCCTCAGGAAAAACTGGGTGGATGTTCCTCTAACAGGGGTCTTTCAAGCAGCAGCCCTTCCAAAGCTAAAGATGGTCTGTAGATGGCAGAAGATGTGTTTCTACCAACCATTACAGCTGTGGGTGAGGACAGGGCAGGAAGAAGCACTTCTCTTCCCAACTCTGTGCGACCAGCTGACGATATAACGAACACAAAACTTCTCCCAAGATTTTTCCCTGTAATCCCATTGTCTCTTTGGGGATAGGCAGAAGTATTTTATTCCCTAAAAGCTCTGCAAGGCTGGAGTATATATCTTGCAATCTTTGCTGATGAAAGGGTGAAGGAAGCCAGCTGGCTCTGGCAGCAGTGCAAGGAGGAGGCAGGCCCTGGCGGGGTCAGGGATGTGTGAAATGCAGGATGGGGCATATCCACTGACAAAAGTTCAGGAACTTTCCTAAAACCCACATTAGTTTTGTGTTCTGAGATTGGCTTTTCACTTCAGTTTTCTTGTGTTGATGAAGGCTAATGTAATTTCCTGTAACATGTATAGAGCCCCTTTCCTAGTCGTTTCACCCTCCTCCCTCCTACCCCCCTACTCACCAAGATTTTGATTTGGTTTTCTTAAAGTCTTTTGCGAAGGTTCAAAGTTCAGTGTTTTGATTAGTTCTTGGCTATGTATGCACATGTATTTACTATATTACAGTGCATTATGTTACATTAAATGTAGGGTAAGAAATCACACTTGGACAAATTCGGGAAAAGTGACTACAACATTGAAATTTTTACCTTGTTTACCACTTAATAACTCAGGGAACAGAACAGATTAAAAAATTGCCTTTTTTCTCTCCCCATTTTCCTTTTTATGAAAATGAAAATTGCATCCAAGCCCATAAATTGTATGCCAAGTTTTAGCTGAACTCAATTAGAAACAGCTTAAATATTAAACTGAAAACTTAAGGGCCAGTGACATTAAAGGGACATTCTCTCGAAGGCTCTTAACCATAGCACTGCTAACAGGATGTTGAATTAGAGCTGGATTTTTAAGGCATCACCAATTATATTGCACGTATTATGTGAAATTATGAACTCAAAACATTTTACAAGTCCTTTGGATGTTGTCTTCTCCTTCCCTAAACACATGCAATGCCACATATTAGTAAGGCTGTTTTATGTTCTCTGCTTTTTCCCTGGTTGTTTTGTTTTGTTTTAATATATGTTAGTTATAGGTTTAGCCAATGTAGGTACTTAAGTGCAAATTTTTTAATCAGCTAATATTTATTTTCAATAGTCTTTCAATTTTACTGTTTACTTCTCAAATTTTAGTAAATATATTTTATTTTATTTTAACTATACTATTGTGTAACCAAGTAACAGGAAATGCACTAATCTAACATTTTTTCCTACCCTTTATTAGGTGACCTAATTTTTACTTCCTTCCCTTACAAACCTTGGACCTTCAGGTATTAAAAATAATATACATAAATTGTAGAATACCTTCTCAACAGCTGGTTTTCTTAAGATTCAAGTGAAGTAGCATATTCACTACCACCCCCTTCTCCCTGCATCTTCAGTAAGCTTCATATAAGTCAAATCTATTGGGAGGAAAAAACAAAAAAACAAACAAACAAACAAACAAAAACAACAAACAAACAAACAAAAACTAAAGATCTTACTTTATTTAACATAATTCATCAAGGAACTGACTTTTCTAAAAACCTGTAATGCTTTCAAAACTGGTTCCTAAATACACACACCAAAAAATGACCCTATCAAGTGGGACTCAGACTTGAGCTACAGAATTGAACTTTTACAGGATGCTCTTAGAAGACTAACAGGAGCTAATTAAAAATATAACTCTTGTCACAGAAGTGAAAGAGAATCCTGTGTATTTCCCAATCCTGCTTCTGCAAATCCTTCCTGCTGAAACAGCTGAATCAGAACAAATTGCTTGTGTGCAAGTTACTTCAACCATATGGTGGAAGAAAAAAGAGCCGTGTGCCTCCTCAGCGATGTAGTAAATAGGAACTACCTCCATGTGGTTTTACACATTTATAGCTAATGTGGAGACCTAAATGTGAAATCAGGGAAATGAAGTGAATTCGTGAGTCTCCCTCTGGGACTTGGGACTTATAACCTATTAAAAAGATGATACTCAT